TCTCAAGTAAAATGTGAAACCGTTGCTGTCGCTGATGCGGAAGCCGATGTTGTGTCAAAATTAGTTTCTGATTTTGAGTTCCTGCCTTTGTCGGAATCTGTCTCTGAGTTGTGTTCTCGCGACGTGAATGAGCTTCCTTTGCCTGTTTCTTTATCTGGTGGCGTTGTTCTACCTGAATCTTCATCTGCTCTTTTTATTGATGATTTGCCCTTTTCCTGTAACGAACCTTTTGAATGTTCTTCTTCTGGCCTTGCGGAATTGTCTGATATGCAGGACGTGACCTCCAATTTTGGTGGTTTAGTCGATCTCGAGGTTGTTACGCCTGCTGTTGCTGAGTGTTCTCCATGCTTTTCTTCTTCCCGCACTCGTCTACCTTCTTTAAGTCCTCGTTCTCATGGTTTGAATTTCTTTCCTTTAATTGAAAATTCCTCTCAGTTGAATTTTGAATTTGTTGAGGAATGTCCTTTTGGCCTTTCGAATCTTTTTTCCGCTTCCTTATCTAATCGTGTTCAAGACGTTTTTGATGCCCATCCTGTGGAATCTGCCTTACTTGTTTCCTCGGATATGCCGTCAGAAATTTGTGTTCCTGTTTCTGATTCTAGTCGTTTCCTCACGAGTTCCTCACCTCCTTTACTCCCCGTTTCTGATCTTTTGATTCCGGTATCTCATCCGATTGGGATGGAAATTTCTGAAACTAAGGAAAGCAAAGAATCTGTTCCTTTACACCTCGGCTTGACTCACGATGACCTTCTTTATGTTGAACAAACGAAACCTTTGGAATACGCTACTGCAAAAGCTAAATATTCACATTCCGATGGATCAGGCCGTGATGTTCATGTTGGTCTTATCGGGAGTGCTGATGAAACAATATCGAAAGTTAAATCTCTACCTCCCGGCCCATCTCCTTTACAGGCTGTTAGTATAGAGACGGAAGATCATCTGTCCGCTCTTCCAGGCGTGTCTACAGTCTCTCCTTCGGAGGCTGCAATTTATATTGACGAAACTGGAAATGAATTGCCGATTGTCTTTTCCCGCACAACTACATCGGAATCGGTGAGACCTTTGGATGCGGATCATAATCTCAAATCTGCTGCATTTTTGGCTGTCACGGAATCTGAACATATAGACTCCTTTACGGCCTCCCAGAGGCAGGCCAATATGCCTGAAGTTGTTTCTGCTGATAAATGTCTAACGCGACATTTGTCACTTTCGTCTTCACGTAGTCTGATCGGAAGTGTCGAGACACCTCCCCATGTTTCAAGATTCTCAGATTCTTCTTTGGAGATACGTGTCAAAGTCCCCCGTCGCCTGTTTTATGCTGCAAATACTCAAGAAGTAGTTTGGGAAGAAGTTGTCTTGTTTGATCATGGCCAAGAAAGCCCGCTTCCTTTCCCAAATGTCTCAGTCATAGTTCCCATTCCTGAACCAAACTTGAGCATTGCACCCCAACGTTCATTTGCTCAAGATAGTGAGGGAGAACCACCAATGGGAGAAAACAATGATCTAGTTCCCACCTACGCTTCACTTCCGTGGCCGAAAGCTAAAGAATATGAAACCACACATCACACTGATATCATTGTTGGCACTGGTTTGGGTGCCTCAGCTCCGGAAATTTGCACTGACAAGGCAGGCTTAGAGCCTTCTGCTGAGGTCATGAATTTACTCTCGGTGGTTCCAATTTCATCTGCTCCAGTAAGCGGTGAATTGATGATGTCTGACGTTTCGCCAGCCATTGAAAGCCTCTCTTCACCTACCCTTTCATCCTCAATAAAGTTGCACCAAGAACCTATGAGTAGTGAGCTGGACGTTTATATTCTTTCGCCTTGTAGTTCTGAGGAAGGCAAAGTCGTTCCAGGCACTAATAAGGATGAACCTAGCAAAGGTCAATTCGTTTCCAGTGAATCCACTATTTCAGGTGAGGAGAAAGTTGAAGAGGGTACTTGGGATGATTTGTCACAACTTGCAGCTGCCGCTGGTGCCACATTAGCTGCCGAATATGCCTCAGAGGACGACGAAGAAGAGGATGAAGATGATGATTACGAATTCAAATCAGTTGGATTTGAGTTGTCCAGACCTCGACCGGCGCCTGAAACAACGCTGGATCGTTCCTCACAACTACTTTCACGACTTAAATTTTATGGTCTGGGAACTCAACAAGTTGCTCAGCCTTCACCACGCCTGTACGATGTAGAACGTGGTATGAGTAAAGACATCGAAGAGAACGAAAATATTGAAGAACAGGTGGCTGAGGAGGTTATTCTCGATGATGAAGAAGAGGAGGATGAGGAAGAACATCCTAAGATAATGGTTGAGGATCTGGATAGCATACTTCCCACTATTCCAGAAGTTGCAGGCCTGGTGACGCCAGATGATGACGACTCGTTAAACGATGACGAAATTCCGATGGATTTGAAGCTTGTCCCAGCTCATGAGGAGGATGAAGAAGAGGACACCTCTCTGGCATTTTCTAGACCCGTCTCTGAGTACCGGCAACAAGTGCAGTCGCTCTCAAGACTCTCTGCATCATCCGAAAGAAGTTCCTTCACTGCAACGGTGACTGACACGACCGAAGAGTCGAGCAAAGAAAGTCAAGCGACAGTAATTCAGATCGGCAGTGATACCTTAACGAATGCTGGCAAAACTCAAGAGGCCTCAAGAACTACTCTTGCGTCTCTGGACTCTGATTTAAATCTCGTCGACGAAACACGACTATCCGATAGTTTTCCGCAGCTTCCTAAGGAAACCATTGATGCCTCAATGCAAGAACAAGTTGCACTGGCTACAGCAATATCAACTGATCAGGTTACTGAGGATAAATCATCCGGCAGTCGCCATTGTGCGGATACAGTATCTACACCAAGCATTTTGGAACGTTCTACATCAAGTGGAATCTACTGTCCACCGAAAGGTCGGCTTCAGGGTTTTCCACGAAAGGGTGATCCTGGTGCAAGTGAACCGGCTCTTTCTAAAACTGAAGCTACTGCAAGTCAGTCACCATCTTTGGCAGAATTTGAGCGTTTGGAACAACAAATGATTGCTAACTCATCTCCAGACTCCCTTCAAAAGACTTCTGGTGAGCTGAAAAAGGATTCGAGCAGCAGAACTAGCAGTTCTGTCTCTGAATTTGAACGAATCGAGGCCGAAGCAACTAAACCGTTCTCAGCGAGTAGTGGAGAAATACCATCTGCTACAAAAGGCGCAGGAGACAGTTCTCTGTCTTCTCTGTCCGATTTCCTTCGTGCAGAACAGGAGTGTGCCAGTAGCCAAGAGTCTGTTCAACAACAACCGATTGATTCTCAGCTGACCGCACTGACCCACAAGACTATTAGTACCATCTACGAAGATGTTCTAGCCGAACAGATGTGTCAGAGTGTCGAGACTTCCCGATTGACAGATTCCTCTGAGATAGTAGGAGAAGTTGACTCACTTGTGCAATCCTCCATCCATGATTCACTTGCCAGTAGCTCTTGTCAACGCGAGGTCCTGCCGATTGACCTTATTCGCGATGTCATTCGTGGTGCTCGTGATGTACTTGAACAGCGTTATCCTCGAGATCATGATTCTCTGGGCGAAGCGGACTCATTAGAAGAAGACTTCCCGCAAATCATGGAGACATCGGCAGATTCCCTAGACGGCCTCCAACAGCATAGTCAACAAGGGCAATGGGGAGATAGCTCTTTGTCATCTGAGGCTAATTACAGTCGTCACATGACCGATTCTTTGGAGGACAGTGGTGCTGCAATGGCCAGTGGAAGTAGGGCCTCAACACAACCTCCCTCACAATCTGAAGTTCTTTTCCTGCCCCTTCTTGGTCCACCTCCAATACCGATTCAGTCCAGCGAACTGCCACAGTTATCCATTCCCCGTTCCACTAGTGGAGATGAAGCTTTATTGAAAAAGACAGACACCGACGAGGAGACATCATTTAAGCGACTACCCGTTTCTGCGAGCATTACCTCTCTGAACCTAGCTCAAGGGCACGTACCTATTTCGCAAACCGACTCCAATTTGGGCTCCACGGTTTTCGACGTGTCCGAGGATGAATTTAAAGGACCTGCGCATCCGGGCGCTTCAGTAACCGAAAGTCCTTTAAAAAGCCTTTCCTCCTCTCCTGTCCTCATCCATGGAAGAGACGTTGAAGATATTCCCGAAAGCTCTTCACCCATAACCCCAATGGCTGGTCCCTTTAGCCCGAAGGATATTTCTACGCCAACCATGACAGAAATTAGCAGTGTAGTTGACGAGGAAATTGGAAAAGATTTTGAAATCATCCGAGCTGCTGATTATGATTTTCCACATGAGCAAAAATGAAGCCTTGGCAATTATTTCGACTAAAAACGCTTTGATGATCCCTCTACCCACTCTCTACCCTGTTTTCACAAGGACGGTCAGAGTGGACAGGCTTTTCTTAACCATTCCTTTCGGCTTGTGATTGCTTCAGTCATGAGCAATGTGAACTCAACAAAGATGTCAAAATCCAATCCTTTCAAATCTTGTTTGCTTTCGATATTTTTGCATTTCATCAACTAACAATGTTAAGACTGTTTTTACACTAAGATGTGAACTCGAGAAATCAACTGATCAACTAGCTCAGGACATTCCCAGTATACAGGAAAGCGATTCCACCCATGCAAAATCCACTTATATTCACACACTCATAGCGAGTCAGAAACGGAACAATCTCCCCCCTGCTGCATTAAACTTTCGTCGGGTCTGGAAGAGTGGCTAATCGTCTTGGTGAAGATAACAGACTCATCTGCTCCTACCTTAATCAGGGCCAAACTCCACCTCCCCCCTTCCCCTTCCGTAGATGCCCACTTCCCCTCCTCCCCGGCCCCCATCCTCTAGATTCGGCATGAGAACTCGCATGCGCTGTGCTCGGTGAACGGATCTACGCCTACCAATCTCGCGCTAGTCACAAGGAGTCCCACCTGGACCTCCTCATTGCCCCTCTCAAACCCCTTCCTCAAGCTGCATGGAGGTACGCGCTTCTGCCTTCTCTTTTAGTTCTTTCTGTGTCACCCCTTTGTGGATTTATTCTCCTACTGTTGCTACTGCTTGTTTGCATGTTTTTGATTAGTCTGGATATGCTCCCGTACTGTGGATTATCTGTTTACGCTTGTGCCGGCGTTGATAGGTATATTAGTCCTTTAACTCCTAATAGTAGGACCAAAATGATGGAATCTTTGAAGGACCAGTGACTCAAGTATTGCTGAATTGTGATTTAAAGTAATAATGTTTACGTACCACCGCTAAGTAGCAGGGTGGTTTTGAAAGCGTTACCGATTTTATTTGCCACAAAACCAAAGTGCTTTTACACTGAGAGTTTAGCATTAAAACCACAATATAATCAAATGTCCCTCAAACTGATTTACTTATAAGTAAAGGAACTACTAAGGGTTTTTTCGACTTTGCACATTACACTACCATCCAAAGCCTACTGCTCCATGTAATCGTCGCTAGTTATAAATCCCACCTGGTGAGTAATATCGCAGGATTTCAATGTATACTTCTGATATGTGTTGTAATGTATCTGTTGGTCACGCGATGTGTGGATTTCGCACGCTTCAGGCTTCAAAACTTGTCGTGTCGGAAAGTAATAAGTAATAAGTACCACTCCTTATAATGAAGCATGAAAGTAGGGGATATTGAACTCCAAAACTGAAATCATATCGTGAACTTATTTTCATTGTTAGTTTGCATATGCATGGAGCATTCCGGCAAGGACTTATCGCTGTCCAACCTTATTTAAATTGTCATGATCGCGTGGCAATGGCTATTGTTGTCGCTAGCTCACTGTCCATAAGCTACACATTGTCTCATTGACCTCTGTCACGTGAGATATGGTCATATATTCGTTGTTGCCTAGATAACAAATTTGAGTTTATGCGCGATTTCTGCTGTTTCTTGCCTTATCATCTGTGTCAGTTCTTATCATTACTTACGCTTTTTTTCCCTCACCAGACTGAGTATAAATTCGCCCTCACAACCGGATTTTGCTCCATCTTCCCACCGTTTACCCCTCAGTCGCAAGGAGGAGAATCGTTTCGAGGAATGCGAGACGCGCGTACGCGGATTTCAACTTTCGTTCATCTTCTGTTTACTCCTCCCTCTCCCACACGTACCTTCGACCTATCCTCCTGCTTTCCAGCTTGTATTCTTCGATGCTTTTCTGTCTCCTTTTGCTCCAGCGTGTCAAATGCCGATCCGCTGTCTGCAGACAGCGTATGCATTATAACTACACAAATCCAGCCTAGGTTTCCCTTCTCACTACCCTTACCTGCATCCCCATCCCTCACCTGCCTTTTTTGTTTGCTTTTCGATTATTCTTACTGATCTCGTTAAACCTCTATACATGCAAGTACAGAATTGCCGCAAATAAAAAACTTACTCTTTGCATCACGGCCTTTCAACCCCGTTTCGAAGTGGTGCGGTCAATATTTACCAAATAATGAAGATTGTGGAATGGTAAATTTTTCCTCTGTTTAGGATTTTATCAAAAGCTGACATTTTTTGTCAGAATAAGTTTAATGTTTGGGAATGAATGAATTTTAATCGCATTTGGCAATGGTGACACATCAAGGTAGCCATAAAACGGCAAGGTTATCCGTATGAGGGCAACTCTGACAAATGACTTTAACCCAAATGTCATGAATAAATATGATTCCTAAATGACTGTTTCAAGGAATGCATAAATCCCCTTAAATTTTCGACAGTTCAGAGGCAAGAGTGAAGCGATGTTTGAACGACCACAGTCTGAGTAGTAGGGTTTCCCTTGTGGTGGCTTAAACAGCATTGATCACCATCACACTTGCATGGGTAAAGGCGATTGCACATGCATGTTATCCTATCTCAATGAGCTGAAGAATAAAGCGGTAAAATGAAAATGTAGTGGGCCAATGGAGAGCAGAGACCTTATTAATTTCCACATTTCACTACTCAGCCATCAAATATGCATATGCATATCACGGCACGTCAACACCAAGTTAATGTGGAGTGTTCGAAATGTATTTCACTGCTTAAAATGGCAAAAATTTATGTATTTTTAGCCTGCGGAGACCCCTGGCTTTAATCGTTCTCAAATTATTTATTTTTTATTTATTATTATTTGTTATTATTTATTCATTTATTATGGTAATTCTATTTCCGCATAGTCTTCACATTAAGTGAGTAATGGCTGGATGGTTTTTTATTATTGCTAAAACCAACAGCAAATAGTGCATTTATTTTGCTTACCATATGGTAGGAGGCAGATTACATCGAAAAAGCATGTAAGCTTTCTAATTCATGTCAAACTGTTTTGATCATTGGGTCCTGTACGGTCAATAATACTGGTATGAGGTCAGCCTAGTGTGCGTCGTCTGACCCTCATCACCTAAACATCGTTCCCTCAACTCTTTGATAGTCAGTGGCCGACTTATTCACTTTAAGCTCTTGAAAATCTGCAGGCGAATGTCTGACTGACATCATTAGCCGGTCTTCGTCATTTGTTGCCGTGTCTAAAAGGCTTTCCAAATGAAGTAGTTTGTTCAACTTTTCATCATACTAAACCGTGCTTCATGCATTATTGTCAATGGTGCGCAAAAGAGGCAAAGCTGCCAAACTATTGTTGACCCTTCTCAAAGGCTAATCAGAAGGTCCTTTCAAGTTTAAGTTAATCCTGAAGCTTACGAGGAAGGGCCACCCATTACTCTTTATTTCCATGTACTCTGTTTTAACAATTACTGAATTATTATGGAAGTGATTAACAAATAAGAAATTTCATTCTATCAGACCCTTGTTCATCCTCAGGCTAAGCCCTACAGTTTAGCTTCCGTGTGAAGTTTTGAATCAAATCAGAGGGTGACATCAAGATTTGCACCGCTTTTGTTAGTGGCCGGAAGTGTCCCAGAAAATAGCATTTCCTTTGCTCACTTACTACTTAGAATGACAAGTTCAAATGCAGCATTTATCACATAATGCGGTGACTAAAGTCGCAGTAATCGAGGCACCGAACCATCTGGAAGGTGGTGAGGTCGTTATCCCAGTTTTAACATAGGGAAGTGGAGTGCACGAATCCAGCTAATCACATCCAGCAAACACAGAGGAGTTGGGCATTTTAAATTGATCTCACCACAGATAGAATTTCCCTCGCTATCAAAAAATTAAACCATCTAATGCTATCGCCAAGACTAGGGCTCTTGGTAAACCCAAGAAGCAATTTTGTTTAGCATCGCAAATTTGCTTTTTAGTCGGAATGTCTTGTCTAAAATTCTCGTGAATTTGGGGCAATTTAAGGGTGGCAACATATTTTGCTGAATAAAAGTGCTCGCATTACTCCACCTTGCAAACGTGTATGATTTCACGGGCAAGGCCTCACTGCTGCTGCTGGGTCGTTGTTTTTTTCTGCTTGCTGCCAGTATGGTTTTGCTGCTCGTGGTGCTTCTGAGGCCTCGAGGACTACGAGGGTTTCCGTTGTCCACCCGCCTTTTGTGACGATGTTCGTCGAGGCCATCGCGTCCTTAAAGGCGAGGCGTGGCTCCAGTCGTCAGGCCATTTTGAAGTACATAATAAATCACTACTGGGTGGAGGGGAGGGTTGCTGAGGTCAAAGTTCACTGCATTCTCGTTTCCGTTTTGCCTGACGGCAGGTTGGTCTGTGTGAAGGAACACGGTGCCAGTGGGCTCTTTCAGATCACCTGACTGCAGAGAGATCAGTGGTGCATAGATTCTCCGGGAAGGTAACGCCTAGGGCAGAGGCTATCAAGTGGGCCCTGACTGCGAATAGGTCTTCTGCCCTTCCCATAGCAGGAAAGAAGGCGTTCACCAAGCTGGGAAAGGTAGTTGAATCGGTGAATTGATCGGTTTCCGCAAGGAGGACAAAGACAGGAAGCTCAAAGAGTTCAGTAGTTAGAAAGAGGTTCACCACTGTCAATAGGTGCTGTTTTTCGCATTCCTGTACATTTCAGTTTAAATCTTTTACTGTACATGCAATCTATTCAGTGTTGGCAGCTAGTGGAGGGTTTAGCTCCCTTTGGGCTATGTGAGGTAGCGGAACTTCTGAGTCCGAGTGTCCTGGCTTTTTAAATGGGTTCAGTTACGAATGTGAAAGGTTTGAATCGTTTCGGGCTTCGGCTTTACTCGGCAATTAGGGTATCCAGAGGAATAAGTGGGGGTGGGCGCGTAGAGACGGCGAGAATTGACCACACTTGTAGATGCCTCTGAGGCTATCGGGAATATTCCGGTGGTCATGTTTCACATGAGCCGGTTAGGTCCGGTTTTTTCATTCTCTGCTCAATAGGCTTCCCACAAGGTAGTGAATTTCTTGGCACACCTATGTGGCCGGATAATACTTCGTACGGGTACGTGAAATGCGCTCTAAAGTCTACATGCTTCGGGCGTTTAAATTGGAACCGGTGAGAAACGATGAATGCGGTGAGGGTACGATAACAGAGAGGCTGATGTGGAAGTGGTTCGTAAATTTTAGCTCAGAAAATGCGACTATGAACGATGAGCTTCGAATGAGACGTCGCTCGGCATTCACTTTGACAGGACGCCCTCAAGGGCACTGTCGAAGGCAAAGCCAGATTGTTTCCTAAGGAGACTGGCTAATGAGCAAGCCGGTAAGGCGGACTTTGAGATAACGGTGGCCCCCACCTCAGCATACGAGGGGTTTCTTCTGTCACATTTCACTCCGCTTGCTTTCAATGGGATAGGGATTTTTCGGGGTCCTGTACCTTATGCTTCAGTGAAAAATAGATTCAATTTAAAAGTAGCTAATTTCCTATTCATTTAGAAATTCCAAATGCTCAATGAATTTCAAGTAAGAGGGGATTATTTTAATGCATGAGTAGATTTACAGGTAAATACTTGCACTTTTCGGATGCCTTTTATGCTGCTTGTGATTCTTTTTTATACTTATTCTGCAAATTAGTTAGCATTAACCACTAAATATTGTTTATTTCTACTACTATCTGGGTTATCTGGAGTATTGGCAAGCACCAGAGAGTCCCTTGACCAACTCCCACTCCGCCCTTCAGTTGCTTGTCACGTGGGCCTGCATCAGAATTTCCTCCAGATTAAGCATAAACGAAGCACCACGCGACTGCAAGGTGATGTTTATTGTTGTACATTTAGAGGCACTGCCATTCGTTAATGGAATGGGCAGGATCCATGGAATGTGAGTTTCCTCAAAGTGGTTTCCCAAAACTGATCTAATCGCTTTCTTTATGAATAAGGCTTTTATTGTCTTCTTACATTATTGGAGTGCGGTGAAGGAAAGGAGTTATTCAAGTCCAAACTAGCTTAATTATGATGCGAAATTATACTTAATAATGATTTATACTTAGGTATTACAACCCAAGAAATGTGGCTGTCTTTCATTGTGATTGTGTGAAAGACATTTATCCTCGCACTAAAACATTCTCCAATTTTCGAACTATATAACACAGTGGATCTACACCAATGCATTCGTCCTTATGCTCAATGCAATTTCTAATTTCCTCTACTTAGCCTTCTTACTAATAGATTAAACACTGACGGAAATCTGCAGCCGTTTGTACCTTTCCTTTTATCGAGTTGAGTTCAAATTGCTAATAAACCTCGATGTGGAATCCACCATTTTCATACTACTCACACTTTTACTTCCGCACCCTCACTTGAATGTTGAAATGTGTTTCTGATGCTTCTGGCTCTTGAATTCAACACACAAACGGTTAAAGCCTTTCAAAATCCTGCGAGCCACAACCACGATGGAGAAGAGAACGACGGGACTCGCAGAATTAACTGTCTAGGTATTAAAAAGCCGGTACCGTGTTGCGTAAATACTCTTGCCCGTTTCTTCAGCATTTGTGCATAAACTATTACCACTCATCAAGTGTCGTGCCAAGACGGCCGTCTTTTTATTTAGCATAGAAATGTCTATGCCTGTCGCATGACCAGTTCTACTTAATAACCTGGGTGCCAATGCACCTATAACTCCATGACTGGGTACTGAGTGCGTTTTGCCTACTTGTCTCCTTATCCATGGAAGAAAGAATTTTGTGAGTGGAATATAAGCGCCTCTGCATTGCTCTTATTGGCCATCTTGCATACATGCTTTTGGAAAGCAAGGATTTTGCTACTTTGGAAGCATACGACTCAAACCAATGAAATCATTAGCAGTAAGCTCTTCCTTGTTTATGATAACCTTTTATTAAGTGAGGCATAGATCTTTCAGGTGAGGTGCCTCAATTCGCTTATGTTTGTCTACCCATTGGACAAATAAGTAAAAACCTTAAGTGGCTCGAGAGGAAGGCTAACTCGGCACCAGCAAATGGAATGTGGTCTCGTCTCACGAGTATTTGCCGAAAAAGCCGTTGTACTTGTACTCAAGTATAATGATATTTCATTCAGTAAAGTACAAGTAGACCTAAAAAAAGCATCCACTTGAACGAGGAGTGGGTAAAGTGAATTAAAGGAACCGAAGACAAAAATTGCAAGAGGCACGCAGTTCTCACGTAAGGGGGACCATTTTGGAATCTTGAAAACAGAAAAATCTGCGTTTACTTCATACTGATTTGTGCCTGCATTGCTCCTTCCTCAACCATTTCCGTTCATATTCGACTGCGGAAAGCGAAGGCAAATAATTAATTATTTTTAATTTTTCTGACACAATCTCCAATTTACCAATCACTTGTGCATGATAAGTTGCCATTCTCATGGTTATTTGAATCTGTTGTTGCTTATCCATAGGAAACGCTTGACGCGAATACTAATTCGGTAACGTACACTGAACTAATATTGACACTTCCAAAATGCCTCTTTCTGCTTTGTTATTTGGAACAAATGCTACGCTAATAAAAAATGAAGAATTGACGCTACCATCATGGTGTAAGCGTTCTTGCTATCCCGATACTGTACGGGTGCAATAATTCTGATTGAATTTTGCTAGTGCAATGTACTGTGATATCCTCGACTTCCTTGATCTCTGGAAGCCGATGCGTAGTGCATTGCAGAACATTCGGTACAGCGTGCATGACCACGGAGTTTATTTCCGTCGTGGAGACGTTAGCACGCTTAAGAACCCATTTCAGGGACTTCGATTCCTCGTCCATTACCGTACGTTTCCTCTTGTTCCAAAGGAGATGATCTGGGGAGAGTGAAGGGGAAGTTTGGTGTAGTGATGGCGGAAGATGTGAAACTTCCACTACGACCTTATCATGCTCCTGAAGGGCACGAATGGTGGGTTCCGATAAGGTAGATGGAGAACCAGCACCTTCAATTCCAAGGATAAAGTTGGTCTGGAAAGGCTCGCTCGTTGCATTCATGCTGTTCAACTCCCCTTTGCACGACTCCGCGTTGCTCACTCCTTCCGAAAGGGAATCGATCTGCTCGAGACATGATCTTAAGTAGAATTGTGGTTTATTAGAAGTTTACATGTATGGTGTCGTCTGTGCGTAAAAATATTGACAGTTTGGAGTTTCCGGTGATAATGAGCAATTTTACCAACTTTTACTTAAATGGTTGTCATTTTACACGCCTAGAAAATCTGAGTTTTGATTCAATGTCTGGTGTGGTGGTTATCCGTCCAGTATCAGGCTATTAAGTGCAGTTTTATATACTGAAGAAAGAAAAGAGTTGCGTCTAATGCATGACCTACGTGCGAGTGTAAGGGGAAGTCACTTCGACCTCGGGCTTCGGGGGCTCCAAGCACAATCGAGCAAGTGAGCTGTGTGAGAGCTCCGACATCAATACGCTTTTAGGCGTCTCTTGGAGTGCTCTAGGTGAGTGTCTGCGGATTTCGTGGGTGCTTTCATTTCCTAATGTTCTCTCAGCCGATGTTGTGGTCGGTTGGAAGGGAGAATTAACAATCATGGCCACCTCGGGCGACTCACCCTCATTGGATAAGAGGCCCCCATTTCTGTGTCTCTTGTTCTGACCCAACAAACCTGAAGCGGCTGTCGAAGGGCTGCACTCAGAGATCGGTGAGAGACATGGCAGTGGAGTAATGTGGATCAAGGTATTTTGAACGGCCTCTTCCCCCGTTTCCCCAGCCTGCTTTTCCTTCACTTCCTGTTCCCAAAAGACGTTAAAGCTTTTCTTAAATGTTTTTTCTTCATTCTTATCATCGTCATAGGCCTCCGAGACGTCAGTGGGCTGATCGTCGAGGATGCAGGAATCCAAATCTGGTATCAGACTATCGCTGCCAGAGGATAGAGTCGTCACACTCTGACTACAATCAGTCAGGGATTCGCTGAGAGAGTTAATTGTGGAGCTATGATGATGCGTTGCTGTATCACGTTTCTGACCAACACAAGTAGTTGGAGTCGCTGTAGGATGAACCAGAATGGCGAGGCGGACCTTCAATGAGTAAAATCGACCATTATAATACTTTGAAAAAGTGATAATTGGCATTTAAATACGATACGAAAAGAGAATTTTGAATTGCACAACTAACTATATCTTTTAGGTTGGGATTAACTAAGTAAATAATACAATTTGCTGAAACAAGCATGCACATTGAGAGATAATTGCAAAATTTGTGGTTGGTTAATGATTACTGAATGGCATTGGTTCCAAAAAATCCATCAGCTAACCTTTTTGTGCACCTGACGGTCGCTGGGTTCCCTGTAGGCACTCTGTCTGGGCGTGACCTCGGAGGTGGTTTTACAGCTGGGAACTGTCACTTGAAGGGTCTCTGTGGCCCCCGGAGCGGCAGCTGAGGAGAGAGGGACTGTTTCGTCGCTTTCAACGCGTGCATCGACAGAGCTTCTGTTGTATGTGGAGGCGGAAGTATCGGCACGTGGCGAACACATGGTTCCACTAGCGGTGTCTGTACTCTTGACGAGGTTCAAGCAATCCTGGTGAAGTTGTTGTTGATGCTGCTGCTGCCGATACATGACCACCGGGTCTTTACTACTTGTTTGTATTGGGGTTTCAAAGGTCTCTGGGATAGGCGTGAGGTGAGAGAGCGACCCCATTAATGGCGATGATGTCAAATCTGTGGCGCTAAAATAACAAAAATACCAAGTGCTACTGCATAATGATTGCGATAAAAATGTGTTGGGTTATTCGTTATGCTGCAGTGGAATAAGAGAGTTAAATATGTACAACATCTGCATGTCTAGGATATTTTGAGAGAACATTGAAATAACAATACTTAAAAGAGTGAATTTCTTATCCGTGATCCAGATGAAAGGTTACTAATTCCGACTGTAATTAGTGACCACTTAATCAGTATTTCATCCCTACTAGATGAAATATTATACAAGCAAAATTGCAAACTTACATGGTCAGACTGTCAAACCTCACATCATCATCACATTTAATTAGGTGGCAATGGATTTTAGGATAATCTAAGTACGGTTCTGCGAAAAATGGAACACGGTTAGGAAATGTTTGGATAATATTTTGAAAAGACTTCTCAACTTGTGTGCAGCAAGAATTTTAAAATTATACGGGATTGTAGATTTTTTATAACCGATGCAACAGATTAATGCCAAGTAGCTTGCATTGAGCATTTGCACTATATACCCATTCTAGTTACTAATGAACGAGGCATTAAAAAGACCATAAACTATTCACTGATAGAGCACCAATGATTGCATGAATAACAACTTTTTACTAGGGAAATTCACCTTGTCTGAGTCATTTCAGCTATTTTTGATACAGTAACACAGAGATCGCAGTCTTCGTCTCCCGATTCGAATGGAGCGATACTCCGGGGCGGGTGAATTACCATGGCCAGAGAGGGGTAGATAGTTATTCCATGAATGCATTTTCCTCGTCGGATTGTTCGATAGGTAGGTTTGCAAGGCTGAACTCCTGTTGTTTCACTCCCTCCCCCATCTTTGTAATTCTTTTTAAATTGTTTGGCATCGACCTCAAGTTAGATTTTAGAACAGATCTTTTACTGATAAAAAATTAGTAGCAAACTACCGACAGCGTGCTATTCCCCATAGAGCTTAGTGGCCATTTCCTGTAATTGACCAGGTAACTATTTCCCGATAAGAGTAAAGTAATGAAATGAAGACTCTTAAAATGGTGCAACTAGCAAAAAGCACCTACAGGCTTGGAAGGAAAAATGCTTTTGGTGAAAGAAACAACTATATTGCTGCCTTTATTTTCCATTGAAGTTGAATTTTCAAAAAAACAAAACTGCTTAAAATAAGTGATTTGACACTTTAAAAGTATGTGTGGATGTATAGGCTTTGCAAACGGCACACATGTACAGGAGTGATTTATGACAGCACTTGGTAGAGGCACACTTTTTATAAATCTCACCATCTTGTTGTTTACGTTTACTTCAACGGGCAGTTTTCAATGTTAGATCAAGTTCCACTGCAATCTACTAAAGGTGCAAGATACCTACTTCTATCCGACACAGCTAATGTGACTAGTGGGAGAGAATGCTCTTGCTTTAATTTAAGTTGCCACGAGGATTTACTAAAAACGGAAGAGCGTTTATTACATACACCCAATTTTTTCCCCATCTAATCAACTTGGGTAGCCGTTTTGGCAACAAATAATAATATTTGTAAGTTTCTTTACAAATGTGGTTTAAAAATGTGCCATTTTTGCAAAGCAGCTTGATTTCTACAACATAAATCTATCTTATGTAGTTCTCAAAAATTAAGTTGCACCTGCCAGTAGCTAATACTAGTGGCATGTGATCATACCTTAATGAGGGGATCCCCTCTGGAACGTACTACGTACCGTGGAAGACGTGAAACTGAAACGGGAAACAAATGAGCAGATTTGACTTCAGTTCTATCACATTTTCTTAGATCATTGACCTACTATGGACCAATTTACACTAATACAATCAGTAAATATACAATCATTTAGCGTTTTGGTGGGAAACAAGGAATCGTGTAATACCACATTCTAAAAAAATAGGTTTGCATGACTGATATTTACACATTTTTGTTAGTTAAATTACCCTTTAAATGAAATCTTTTGCTCAAACCTAGTTCGGGTAGTGAGAATCCATAGGTGTATGATTAGTCTACAAGCCACGATACAGTAGCAAGATAGGAAAAAACTCAGTAGACTCTACACAACCCTTCCCCAATATTTGGACAGTGTAAGTTGGACCTTACTTACTATCTTCGATAATCTACTTAAACTGATTCGCCTGACACCGTAAAGACTCTAGCTTAGTATGATTGACCCACCCTGCTGACGACGTTTCACAGCAAACCACATCGGCGTTGTCTGCGAGACGTCGTGTATTGCCTTTGTGGGAGAGGACTCGAGGCTACGAGTGGGCAGTTGGTTGGTGATGGTGGGATTGCGCGCTTTGATGAGCTGAAGAGCTTCAAGAAGGGATAGCCCACCAACGGGCCCATGCAGTCTTCCCAATGTCTTGCTACGATTCTGCTTTTCTATTTGACTCGCCAGCTCACCGATTCGGCAGCGCTGAACGTCGTTCCTGGATTCTGCTCTATTGAACCCGCTTGCCTTGGCCTCGGTAAGCAGTGATGAGCCCGGGCTGTGCTCCATTACATCACCTTGATGAATCGTCCTGTAGGCAAATTTCTAATTTAGTTCAGATGTCAAGCAGCTAACACAAGAGGTTCAATTGAATCATATTGAAATTTGAGTAAAGGGTGGTTTATAGGTAGTATATAATACCACCAAGGAAGAAGCGTGGCCTAAGAATGTGTTTTCATCTAAATGGATACATTTAAAAGGTTAATGAGCACTGTGAATTAAAAGAAACCAGACTCAGTTGTAATGTACGTTATTAAGCAGTCAAAGATAATTTAGCTTATCACAGTGTATTTATCTGATGGTTTGCACATTTACTGAAGGCAGGGAATCATCATTGTTGAAGAACAACTTCTTAAAACATCCTCCTCACACACATTTGCTCAAACGCACCATGTGTAAGTACAGTGAGGCTCCGCACATAATCAGTCTCAGTAAGTGATTTCGATAAATTTAGAGCACCTTCAGTATCTGTTTGGACAAGCTTAGGCGTTACCTTGGGATGTGCGATGATAAATATAGCCTTTGAGAGCTAAAAATAATTCAGGAGGAAAGCAATAGGTGGTTGTATACTATATGGTACAGTTTATGGAGTGATTTTACTTCGTGAAGAAGCGAACATCATTCGTTCCATTCTAATGCTAGTTAATGAAAGTAACTTACTGCATTGCGAGGAAGGTCTACAAAATGCATGGTCTTTATGGTTTTAAAGTGCTGAAACGCTTTTACTCAAAATTCTTCATATAAAGGTCACTCTAAGAATCGCGAAGTGTAAGGTAAAAAAAGTTATTAAACGTGTCGCTAATGGGAGAGCCCATTTAGCAGTCATTATTTCGAATTTATAGTTCGAATCGAACATACCTAGCGGGAAAGTATTTGCAGGAAGGATTCATCGGTGCCTGTGGAATGCTCAACGGAATCGTGAATGCGATCGATCCACGAGAAACGCACGTGGAGCTGTGATGTCGCCCCAAACATTCACGTGGATGTTGGGTCTTAGGCCTGATGCATCATCGAACGTGGCACACCCCACAAGGCTAGCCAGGCTCCCTGCTGGAAAACGAGCACTCGCACCCAAGATGGAAACCACAACCGTCTTTCTAGTTACTAATTTCCCCTGAAAGGAATTTACTCGCCAGTAGCGCGCGACTTTTAAAATCTAACAAAGTGCCTCCAAACATTTGGCACGCTGCCAAGCTCACACCCCAATGCAATTTGAGACGTCATCGGCACTAAACGAATCCTATCTCTAAGGTTAAATTTTTGAAAGTTACTTTTAGTTGAAGAAATTACAATCGAGGTGAGATATCAGCGAAGGGAGGATCCCATCTTGGATAAAACATTGAGTTGTAACATGTCTAAAATCATCAAAGTCCCGAAGCGACTTAGTAGATGACACCTCCAAGCTGGTCCAACACCAGCTTCGCACACGTGAAGTCGATCACCCAGTCATCAATGGGGGCAGTTCCAAGCAAGTGAAAAAAAATTCTTCCACGCCGTGGCAGAATAACCCAAACAACGCACATGAATACGCAACTTTTGCGATGGATTCACCAACCCAAGGCAAAAGAAAGGCCCATCTTTTTGCATGATAGTAACATTAGCAACGAAATGTAACAGAAGGGAATAAAGGCACAATAAAGTAGCGGCAACTGTGGTAGTGGAGTACAGTGTCATTTTGTCTTTAGACTACGAATGGTTTATACAGACAAGGAAAGTAGGTACGAGGGTCGACGAGACATCTATACACTGAGAGCCGGTAAGAACAGAGAGTGGAATCACAGTGCTTCCTTTTCCAGAGGTGAAGGAGTGAGACGAGACGCCGGTTGAAGGTAACCTCAGGAGCGGTGTCGCCACCAGAGGCCGAGGGACACCGCAGCAAGGAAGGAGAGGATTCCAAGGACGAAGAGAACGGCCTCGGTGAGGTTGCTGAAGAAGCCAGTGCGAGTAAAGAAGGTCCGCAGGGGCTGGGCGATGCGCTCGGGGAGCCATCGGTGACGTAACATGTTCTTCTCTGCCATTCGCGCCGTGATCTCGGCCAGACGGGCGCGTGTCTGCGCCTGACGCGCGAGACGCGCCTCCCGGAGCTGTCGGATCAATTCCAACTTCTCTAGTTCTTCCGCCTTCTCTTCTCCTGCCTCTTTCTTTCCTTCCTCCTTGCCTTCGACTGAAGGCTCAGCCTGCGTCGCTAGAGAGGAGGGAGCATTCACACCCGGAACTACGATGACCGGTAAAGGTTGATTAAGTGCGTCTTCTTCCAATTGATTATTTCCGTTGGATTGGACTGGTAGGGAGTTGTGAGACATCACAATGCTACAGAAATGCCAAAGATCGTTATAAAGGGGGAGGTGGATTGCTGAGGTGTTAGGCTACGTTTCATAAAAAATGAGAAGCGGCGAAGAAAAACCAACTATTGGTGTCAAAACAGAAAATTTTTGGTGTCTTCAGAAGCAAAACTACCCATAAAACTACAGAAGTGGAAGAATAAAAGCTATAATTCAAGCATGAAAATGTAAAAATAAATTTGAGTTAGGAGTGGAGCGAAGAATACGTGGGAGAGCAGTAATAGGGTAATCTAAGGAGCCAAGACTACACTGAGTCACTTGCAGGAGCTAGTCGGACAAGAAAAAATTGCCCATGAATCACTCAGTCAAAAATCCCGCGCCCTCAAAACAGGAATCGCGCTGAAAGAGAACAAGTTCATTCCTGATCTTATCAAAACTCGGCTAAACACCCGTCATTTACAACCTATTAGTGGTACGGATTATGACATATCAAAAGTGCTCAAGAGTATTCAAAGTAATGAAATAAATCCGCAAAGCACAAGGTAAAGTTCACAGAAAGTGAAATAATCGCGAAAAAAAGCCAAAGAAGCAGAGACAACGTTGAGAGGAAGCAGGTTAGCATCAGACGCTTGCGGGACTCAAAACGAAAAAGGTAGTTTTCTTGCTTTGTTTATTCAAGAACAAGTACGGACAGAGGAATCGGAAATGGTGGGCACTAAAAAGTAAACGTTATTTGGCAAGAGCAAATAACCATATTAACCAATATTAACTGCTTCTCGTAGACGCATTCTTTTCGAAATGGCTAAAGAAGAAAGCCATTTAAAGATAATAAAAGTAGGAAATAGAATGAGGGAGCTATAGAAATCTGCACTAAAGGAGGAACGGGTATCAAATGCCACTGTATTCAAAAATAAAGAGGTGCTGACGATGGCGAAACTCCAACCAGTGCTTCCTTTCAATGAGAAGAAGTTTATGCAAATGCCGACAAAAAACGAACACAAAATTGGCAGTGTAGATTGGTTGAGAGAGAAGTTCTATTAGCAATGTTCGCCTTCATGTAGGAAGAAAGCCGATGGTATGGAACGAAGCCCCAGGACAGCTGTTTTAATAATATGGGGAAACGGATAGTTCGTTTTAATAAGCAGGAAGAGGGAACGACTAGCAAGTAAATAAAATGATGCTACCTTTGGCATATCTCCAGATTATCATGGGTAGTAGTTGCTGCAGGCCGAACATGGCGGTGACCGCTTGACCAGATTCGATCCAAAGCGAAAGTTCTTCAGCCCCCGTCCACCAGCCAGGTCATGCTGGTGCGAATTTGCGTACGTGTGTGAATTGGGCTCCAATTCGACCAGTTTAAAAACCACACAATCACATAACCCCACCTCACCACCAGGAAGTTTTGTCGAATTACAGGGTCGAAGTTGTCTTCAACACCGTAATTCAAAAAAATCAGCAAAACCAAACTGCTTCCCCGGGGAGTTTAACAGTTTATGCAGAATTCGAAACGTACTGCCCGAAAATGGAGAAAGGTGGAGAGGTGCGAATGGAAGAAACAGCAGGGCAGGAGCAGAGGCTGGGAACCCGAAGAAATCTCTCACGCAAGTGGATTTTCGTCTCTCGGGCCGGTGAGTCAGCGACGCGGTAACGCATCCGCTCGCCGTGCATCGACCCGCCTCCAAACCCTCCATGCCCACCTAGCTAAGCCCGGTCACCGACCGACTGAGACGATTGCGCGTTGGCAAAGGCTTGCCAACTACTGTCCGGTGCTTTTTCACTATTTGAAGAAGATGAGTCGGCCAAGCCTTTCAGTATGTGTCTATGACATCGGCAGCGGGGAGAAAAGGTGAGGTGAAGGCATACAGAATGATAAGGGCGATTGGGCATGCCTGAAAGGACTTGCTGGAGCTGCGGAAAATAAGGAGTTTATAGTTCCTAGAGTGAGATGCCAACCACGTAAAGAAGCATTGCCGAATTCACGCTTGACGCTCAAAATGTCATAATTCACTTCACCCAGTTGAATGAGGATATGTCAGCAGCTAACAAGGTCAATTTTTCGACCTAGTTTACAATAGATCAAATGATCAACGGGCCGCGTTCTTGAAGGCAGTGAGCTTTACCTAACAGGTGACCCGATTTTGAAATCAGCTTGGCTTTGCCTGCAATGATTATAGATTCAATTTACGTCTGAAGGGTATGGATGCCAGGCTACTACAAAGACAAGGAAATATGGACCACTAATCCCAACAAAGTCGAAGTGAGAATCAGTAGACGGTGCAATTGAATCAAATTCGTAAAAAAAAGACGCTGCGCGAGCATTAAACAAGCTTCACATGAGGACCCTCCCCACGAAAAAATGAATTAAACTTTCATAAAGATTTGATTTGCGTGAGAACCCGTAAAAACAATCAAATTCCTTTACTTCGTCAGAAGCTTTGATGACATTATACCAGGTACCATTCGTCGCAGGCCCTAAGAGAGCACTTCACTGTGGATTCAAGGCAAATTTATCGAAAGGAACAACCACCCAGGCGAAATGAATCCTCGCTCTGGGAAGTCAATAGTTTAAATAAAATCACTCGTTTATTCGAATTACTGGCTTTATTGGTTGACATCAACTATATTTCAGCCTTGTCCATCCCATTTTTGAATAAGATTTTATTGTTTAGTAGACAGTTGTGATACAAATAAGAGGATTTCATTGTTTTCGCTACGTAGCTGGACTCAAGAATGAGCCGATGGGTGAATTGATTCTACTTCAAAACTAGGAAAATAGCTGCCTTAAGGAAGAAGTGGGCAGCACTCAGTCTCGGTCACCCACCATTCCAAAACGGTGGTCACTGAAAACGGTAGTGGTGACTAAGATAAAGTGAAATCAATCCAAGGATAGATTGCGATGGCATATTGGAATGTCGGGTGGAAGTAGATCAAGAGAGTAGGGAACGATTACGGATCATGTGGTCGACGAGATCACAGTCATTGGTCGTTCAAATAACACACGAGTATGAAGGGAGCCCAAGCCACTGCATTATAATCCATAGAACATTGGAACCTCAACGCGTCTAAATAATCGTGCGTAACTTCCGAGATGTTGTGCGTTTATGGTAGCGACTCGAGGGGTCTGTACACCAATTACCGATTTATTCTTTTATTAAGTGAATATATATATATATAAACAGCCAGTCATTATCACCCGTAAAGAAGACCATCTGGAGCTACTGGCGATACACGCGCTTACGAGGCGTGAATCATCAAAACAGTTAAGAAACATTTAACACCAATGGATCAAGTCTCGAAATAAAGTACATTCCAGCAGGATAGCGCGTTTAAGCAAGCTTCGATGTGTCGCATCGAGGACAGGCTAATATATACATTTGCACATGAGATGAATATTGCACCAATCACGAGCTGCAAAATATGCATATCGCTTAGGCCTTGTGATGCACTACCTGCCGTTTGACAGAATGATGCTCTTGTAACAGAAGATATGACTTAAATAAATGGGTTTAATTATGTGAGGAAACTGTACCAAAAGTATAATCTGAAACTACAAGTGAATATCAATAGAAGTCGACAAACTAAAAAAGCCGTCACCAAGTCCCAGGTAGGGCCGAACACTCAAAGAAACTAAAAGACAACAAACCTCTCTTCAATTTCACCGGTCTGGACCTCTTCAACTTCTATGGGTAGAGGTGGGAAGTGGTTCTGATTCAAAAAGTGGTGATAGCGATTGGGTTTCCGGCAGCTCTGATTGAATAATTCCCTAATTTCAACCTCATCTTCCTCGTCCGTAGAGGCGGAGGATGAGGAATTGAGGGAGCAGAGGTAGTTGGCGTGGAGGGCAACTCCTCTTTTGGCTGCGCACATCCGAAGGTGCCTAAGGATCTTGCGCTCATCGTCCTGAATGTCCAACTCTGTGGCCTCTACGTGGTTACTCTCAACATTCTCTTCTTCACTGCCAATTTCGTCATCACTGTCACTTTCGCCATTCTCGTCAGCAGCGATGTGGTTGTGCTCGGAAAACTATGGATGGGAAAAGAAAAACCGACTTTGATCAGACTCTTGTTCATAACGAAATCTTTATGTGCAGTTGAGGTGAAAGTTCGATGAATCACGTAATCACAGCGGCAGCAGCTGAATGCAATTTTATGAACGAACGGCATGAAGCTATGAGCCTCTCCGCTCCTGTCAAGGTGAAAAACAGTTGCAACACTCAATAAGCTAAAGAAAACGCGGCCTACATAGTTTTACTCCACTGATTCAGATGGAATGGCTAACAAGGAGTTAAAGGACATTCTTAGCATGTCCTTCAGTACGTATACGTTTGCTTGCAAGTGAACAATGAGTATTAGTATTGCTAGGTCAAGGAGAGTTTTCATCTCCGAGTTCAAAGCGCTGAGGAAAAATGACATAGCATTTGTTAAGGGAGTACACGTGTGGTAATGGAAGAAGGAGGCTCTAAGCAAAAAGGCCACCTTCAAGGCCACCAGGGAGACGGGACAAACAGCGGGAATTGAGAAGCCAAAGCATTTGATCTGGGAAAGAGTTGGAAAGCACAGGAGATGTACGGAGGTGCAAACACGCACACACGCCTGGGTTTGCATGCAGCCTAATATGATTGCGAAATGGGTGGTAACTTATTAGACAGTCTTGGGAAGATTGGACTTATCAATAGCGAGTTGTCTGAGTAAAAAGAAAAAAGCTTATTTCGAAACAGCCGCAAAAAAACCTTAATACCTGTGTTTTATAACCTTGAAAAGTAGTGAGTAACAAGGTTAATGTAACAAATCGTTGAGAAATTAAAATAGTTCGCTACCCCTGTCTCGATTCGTACTTTCATAAATGAGATATAAATAGTCACCAGCACTGGTAAGCATGAAAGTAAAGCAATCATCAGAATTTGGCAGAAGAGTAAAGGTGAAGAAAGCGAACACAAACTATGAAAGGGGCAGTATATTGATGGGCGATTACAATACTGTGGAAATGCACGTCCGCAAAAGGCCGAGATAAAAAAAATTCGTTGGATCACGTGATGCTAGAGAGACAATAATGCACAACTAAAGGGACAACCACTTAGGTGCAGTCAGACTGAACATTAAGAAATAGAGGCGACTAAAGAAATAATTTTTACAAATAAGCAGACACCTTTGGGTTAATGAGCCAAACACACATGGACCTTGAAAGAGATTACGGAAGAACTAAATATTTCCAAAGTGGGCAGACAGCTACAAACTAAGCTAGACACCCATTTTAAAAACGGACATTAAAATAAAATGGATAAATAATACAATAATTAAATTCCTACATTAAATAAGCATAAACTGGTTAGAAAAATAATAGGGAATATCCAAGTCAGAGCGTGAATTTGTCCCGTGTTACCTTGGCGAAAAACTTAAGGAGCAGCTCGAATACTCGCAAGATCTTGACAATAAAAACAAAACTTCTCGAGCGACAATCTCGAATTACGTCAATAGGGTTAAACAATGTGCGTTAACATAAACAGTAAAATTTGTATAGACAAACTCAGAAATCGTCCATGGACTGGTTTCTAAAAATACCGCAAAGGAGCTGTAGGAAACATGAGAAGTCAAGGAAGAAATGAGGTAGCATGCGAACTAATATTGAACAAAGCATGTTGGTCTAAACGGTATGCTTAAATATAATTTTTCTGTGAACCACTTTCAGTATATGAGATTACAGAGGTAGGATAAGTGCAAGAATGGCGACAGACTTACCACCAGAGCAGCACGCTCTCCGGGTGGCGTGGAGAGAAGAGTTTTTCCGCCCTCAATGACGGCTAAATAGCAGTAGCGCAGCTGCTGCGCCGTCTGAATGATGCCCATTCGGCATTGACGCAGTTGGATTAACAGCTGCGGCAAATTCACGCCCTCCATACTATTCTGCTTCTCGATCTACGAGGCCAGAGGAGGACAGAAATCAGATTTCCTTGATGCAAATGGGATGGGGACCAAACAATACGATGCTGCCATTCAGTATGAAGCACCCGATACAATGACCTCTGATTTGCACGTCGTGTGTGCAATAGCGGTCATTCATAGCATGATCGAGTGCCATAATTATTGGAACTAGTTTTCTAAAAAGCGAATATTTCCAAAAGACTACAATGGACAGAGTGGATATCTGCTAAGCACATTCGTACCTTGACTGCCCCAAGTAGAGTTACAAGCATAAGAAGTCGCTTAGACGATGAAGCAAAAAACAGGATACCATGATGGCGAGATGTAAAGTGCCTCTACGGTAGTGTAAGCTTGGAAGATAAGGCTACGCCCCGTGAAGGTAATGGTAACAATAAAGGTGCTGTGAGTACATCGCCGAAAGATTATCAGTCAAACAATTAAGAAACCTCGATTGTGAACGAAAAAGATGGATTATAGGGCGACTTGTATCTTGCTTCCCATGGTCAAGCTAACTCAGAGTGAATCAGTTCCCCGATGTTAGGCATGAATAACGAAATAAAAAAATGTGGCGTCGTATTTCAAATCGTAAAAAAAAAACAATCAACAAATAGCTCTGAAACTTTAAAAGATGGCTAATGATTTGACTTTCAGCAAATTTGCCAGCTAAACGTACAAAATTCTTGAGGTTATTTATAGGCAATCTTTTTCGTTGTAAGCAACCCGCACTTTGTTAAAAATGATATCTCAAAACAAAACACCTTTCATAAAAAAGAACAAAAATTATTTCAGATCAAAGCACACTCCACTATGGACAATTTTTGCCAATCAATGCTGAACCATAAACAAAAAAGTTAAAAGCGCGTTAGTAAGGATTGGTGTTACGCTAGAATGCTTGAATGAAAGAAGGCGGAATGATCTAAACGAAACATTGAGAAAATCCTCTACATTTGGTGAAGAGCACAAGGTGAATCCTCAAAGCACGGTGTCACGAATGTAGACAGCCAAGAATCCAAGAGGCGTGCTTGTGAATGCGATCCTTCAACAGGAAACGACATACGTACAACGCAGAGGTACACATGTGGAGCGTGGGCGGAATCGAGAAAAATGAAACTGAATCTGGTTTCTCAAGTTGATCCGGTCCAAATAGAGGTTGTCAACTGTCTGGTGCCCTACGTAGGCAATTTGAGGGAGGGGGGGAGAAAGAACTTTTACCGGTGAGGTGTTGTAAAAGGTACCTCCGAATAGAGACAAGCTGCCAATGGCCTTTGAAAGTGAGAACTATTAACATGAAAGCGTTGAGGCAATATAGTGCACGTGGTCAAAATTTTCAAAAACAGTTAGTTTTGCCCAAAAGGTAGATGAAAAAGACCATCATATTGATTGTGACGAGGTATTTTGTAATAAGATAGCCAGATTGGCCTAGGAGCGTAACATGAGCCACAGCATCTGCCATAAAAGGAGGATAAATTGATGCCTTGAGTAGTCTGAAATGAATAATTGGGTTGGACACAAGGACAACGCTAAATCAGTTCAAAATATGGAAAAAAATGATAATGCACCATGGATAAGTGTACGAATACTAAGGCGAACCATTAAATTAGTTGCACTGAAAACAATTAAAACCAACACCGTTGTCAAAATTTACGTGGGTAGCAGCGATAACATCAACCGATCAGTTTGCTTCAAACAGCCACATATCAACAAAAGAACCGTTCATTGCAAATTTGAAATCCCAAGATCCATAGGAAAGGCATAGCAAAAGGAGCGGAAATCTGTGGAGCTACTGAACTACCATTGTTTCTTGCTTTGTATGCTAGAATCCACTTTCTAGTCATCAGAGAAGGATCTAATAACACCAGAATCCGTTTATAGGCCCCAATAAACCTCTCTGAAAATACGTGAAATAATATGGTCCGTCAGCAACAATTTCAAAAACTACAACCTTTCCAACCAATTAGACGAGTTTTTGCGTATACTTCAAACATCTTATTGCAGAACAAAAGGCGAAAAGAAATGATCGGACCAACATAAAGTGATTACAACTGGGAAAAGAATACAGTTTAGGGATACAAAGCCTAGGACAAAAAGCCAAGACAATCTGATGAAAAAGTGAAGGCTAATGAGGGATAAGATGTCAGGAAAGTCTCAGCACCAAACAGATCAAAGGATTGTGCGGAAGACGACCTTAAAGATACCCGTGAAGGATGCGCGCGGCGGTGCAGCTAAGGCGTTGGTAAATGGACAAATAAACCGAGAAACACGAAAGAGGATAGAGATAAAAGTGCGGGCTGCCAAGGACAGATGGCGAAGCAAAGGACAGTACCAGAAAACGGTCGAGCTGATATAGTAGAAAAATTTCGGAAACGCCACACTGCCGATTAAGCCTCTTTGAAGAAATGTTGAGGGAAGTTGAGGTAAAGAAAGGCACACACAAGTATGAGCAAATACAGTTCCAAGACTGTTGGAATATAACCGACATCAAAATATGCGGTTCTTGACTTACGATAAATACTTTGATACTGTGAGTCCATCGAGAAAAAAACAAAGGGAACACAACGCTTGAAGCACCAGGGTGAATTATCAAAATTGAAATTTCCCATAGAACCTTAATTATGTGCTTATCGGTCTAGGCGTAAAGAAACTGGTTCGAAAAAGGACTGATCTGGATTCGTTGCATTTACGTATGGGAAACACAAGCAGTCGTGTGCTAATTCCTTTTCATCCTGCAAACTGACTGAATAATGAAGTGAGCTGAAAATATTGTTTTCGAAAAGTGACGCCACAAACACAAAAATTTCAAATGAGCACAATTGTGGTCCTCTCAAGGAGCTGTGGTGCATGCGGGAAGGAATGGTCAGGTAAAAACGTAAAGTGACTAAACTTAAGGTGGCAAGACAACGCACTGCCACTTCTAATTTGATCCCACTTATACAAGAGATCAAAAACAAGAATAGTGCTGAGAACAAACAATTTAGTGAGGACCTTGTTGGCGTCTGCGTGGCTTACAGCAAACGAGTTCTAGATCTGTGCATTCTGGTTCACAGCATTGGTGTTGACCGATCCACAAATCCCCCTAAACGCTCCCAATTAAAAACACTAGACCTAGGGCATGCAACTACCAACTCTTTTGAAATATCATAAACAAATAAGTCCACGATCAGCAAAAGATGAAGTACGAGAACGTAGACATATCAAGGAATGAAAATGGAATGCACTGAGAGCGATGGTAGAACATAAGGCAAAATCCCATTAAAGTGAGTTTGGACTATTAAAAAGGGGACACAGAACGATAATTTAGGTCTGAAAAAAGTAACTTTATTTAAGAAGTCTGCCAGCAAAACAATGGTCATGCGACGAGTTTGATCCCTTCAAAATCGAAGAGTGAGATAGCCATGAAAGTAGACAATAATAATCAACTGACCATGGATAAAGCGATGTCCATCAGCACAAACGTGCCAGAACGACCAACCCCAGCGCTGCAGTGAACGATTCCCGGTCGATCTGGATCATCAAGAGCGCCCGTTCGGCGAACATCCCAAAGAAGATTCAGCATACTACTGGAATACTCGGGAACTCCAAAATCGGGCCATCGGGTGTAATGGAAATGTAGAACTTCGTGAGTAAGGTTGGTCTAAAAGGATAAAAAAAATCCTAAAAAAAGGCGTTACAGTGCCAGCAGCTAAAAGCACTAAATAGTGGACCAAATGAGTGGCGGATATTGCTAAAAATCATACGACACTTTCATATAGTGCAAAGCGCAAAATATCACATTGTCAAAGTGGAGGGAACAGACTTCCAACTTCCAATAAATAAACCCACCAAAACATTTACGACCTCCAGAGTCCGAAAAGTGTACAACCCCTTGTTTTCCTCCAAAACGCATGTGACCGAACAATTTGCATCAGGAAAGTTGAGCGTTGCAGCATGGTCGGGAAAGTAATTGAAACACTTTAAAGCACCCTTTTCTGTGAAACGATTTAACATGATGATAACGGGGCATTTTTGTTCCACAACCATTTGCCAAAAGTGACCCGCGGTTTGAAGAAGAGGACCCTGAGTGAGTATATAGCGTCGAGATGGAACTTCCTTCACTTTTACAAAATTAGCATTTATATAATCCCCCGTTGATTCACTCTTCAGTAAAACCCGCGTTTCATCGTCTAAGAATATGGGGAAATTACAGTACACTTACAGGGGATAATGTCCCGGTATCTGTTTTTCCATCTATTTTTAACCTCATTCGCAGCAGACAAGGTCAACTGGCAGCTTTCCACGGAAGCCAAGTTTTGTATGCGCTGTAAAGATAAGTAATTATGATCTTTACTTCATAAAATAAGCTCCAAGAGCGACATTCGTCGAGTTGCCGGAATTCACGCTCCAGGGGACTAAGCTGTTGGCATTCAAGATTTGTCCGCGTGCTATGGTCGGACGGCAGCAGAAGAGCACCGCACACAGACATTTTTGAAAGCGTTTCCAGGCCTAGGAGCAATTTTAAAATAAAAGTGATTTAACGGCTGAGCCGTAACCATGAGTAAAGTGCTAGGTGAAAACGCATTAAGAATATGGCCAATGATTTGAAAAAAAATATTTCTTTTATCCAAAGGGGATTATCTGCTACCCAGGTAAGTACGTAAAACCTCATATACATGTATGCACAAATAAAATATTGTAGTAATAAAAGATTATTGTTTTTGCTAACAAAGTGCAAAAGCTTTCTTTTATGCACAGTTTACCGTATGGGACATATTCTGAAAACAAATGCACACAAATTCAATGCACATATGATTTATTCTTGCCCTTGCTTAAGATCAACTTCATGCAAAAAAACCTTTAAAAAGGCTAAAATCAATTCATTAAATTTATTATGACTAACCACTGGGAGGAATTTTATCCTCCAAGGATAGTTTTGTAGGGAAATCAAGTGCCCAAATCAAAGGTGGGACAGTGTGGGATGTTAATAACACTTAAACTTAGCCGATAATTTATTCTACATTATCTGGTGGCTTTTATTTGGAAGTAAGTACGATATCCAGTTCATACCAAAAATATGCACGCTAACGCCTGCATATCGAAAATTGCAACATATTGCAGCTATCCACCTTGTTTGACAGGTGTAAGAGATTAAGCATTGGTCAATGTTAAATATTCTTTTATCACTCTTCTGTACATATATATGATGGCCTATGCTATAGAAATTTGTGGCGCGCTAAATGGATACTTTTGGAGTTGATCATGTGTGCTACTTTAGTATGACGCTTCCGCCAAAGCCACAATTTAGTTCAACTGATGATGCCGTCTTCTGCATATTTTTTGGAGAAATCGTTCATTGCTAACAGAAATTATCAAGAGAACTATAAAAACCGTAATGCACATTTAAATGCTGATTCACCACATGCTTCATCAGAGGAAGATATCGGTTGTTGTAACAGCGACATGTACAACACCATAGTAGATTATGATGCAAATATAAAACCAAAAGGTAAATCATATAACGGTTTGCATAGTACGGATGATGGTTCTGGTTTTCAACCCTGCAGAATTCGAAGATGGCATTCCAAATCGCGGCAAAGATCCAATTCGTTGAAATCGCATAGGTCAGAAGAATTTACAAAGTCGTATTTATTTGGACCTGTTTTGAGGCACATTAAAGCGGAGTCTGCATGGTTTGCTCCGTTGTCACCTATTCCGGTTCGACAACCTGGCTTGGCATGGAATGGTGTGTACCGCCGCACTCCAACTCTAATTTTCTCACCAACGGTTATGATGTGCAAAGAGAGTAGTGTAAAAACTCTAGCAGAAAAGTTTAATCTTTCTTTTAAACTAAACAGGGCAGACTGTCGGCTTCTTCGAAGCATGATGCAAAGCCATGGTTTTATTGAAGTCAATAGTCTTTCTTCCGAATTCAACTTAATGTGGTCAAATAGCCACATTAAGCCCACAGAACTCAGAGCTATGTGTGATTTTCAAAGAGTCAACCATTTTCCTCGGTCATACGAGCTTACTAGAAAGGATAAGCTTGCTCAGAATATCAAAAGAATGCAATATTTAAAAGGACTGAGTAATTTTGATATAATTCCGAAGACTTTTGTTCTACCATGTGATCAAATTGAATTACGATCGAGCTATTTAAAGGGCCAAGGACCATACATAGTCAAACCCATTGCCTCCTCTAGGGGTAGGGGCATTCACATTATTTGCAATCCCGATGCAATAAATAGTACGGATCAGGTTATTGTCTCTAAGTATGTATCAAATCCACTGTTAATTGATGGCTTCAAATTTGATTTGCGATTATACGTCGCAGTTACATCGTACTGTCCTCTTACAATCTACATTTATGAGGAAGGATTGGTGCGATTTGCGACAGTGCGTTACCAGAAGGGCTCTAAGCACTACAAAAATTTATGCATGCATCTGACAAACTACAGTGTCAACAAGAAAAATCGCTTCTTCGTTCACAACGATGACGCAGATATAGAAGACTTTGGGAACAAATGGTCACTTGGTGCGTTATTACGGTAAGCTTCGTTCATTGTACACTCATAGTTAATTAAAATTATACTGACATTCCATGAGGTTATTAATTCTAGGTATTTGAGAGGTGAAGGTAAAGACACAGCGGCATTGATGCTTCGTATAGAGGACATCATAATCAAAGCTTTTATTGCGGTTGAAGACCCAATCAACCAGGCTTGTCGCCTTTTTATGAGCTCAAAGTTCAATTGCTTCGAGCTCTACGGGTTCGACGTAATCGTTGATGAAAATCTCCGGCCGTGGTTACTTGAGGTATTTTAACTCATCACAGTACATAGGTGAGGGCCAAGGATTTACAGTTTAATAAAGTGCCGCTTTCGTTTGTTTTTAAATAGGTCAATCTATCACCATCTTTAGCATGTGATACACCTCTTGACTTCAAAGTAAAATCAAATATGCTCTCAGACTTATTAAACTTGGCTGGAATCATATGCTATGATCCAACGAAGCGATGCAAAAAGGGAGCTTGTGGAACTCCAAATTTTACTTCACCCAAACATCCTACTTACTTTGTGTCCGCCCAAAAATACGTCAATGAAGAGAGCCAAAATCTACTTTTGATAGGCAAGTTTAACGACTGCATTTTGCAACTATTAACGGCATTTTATAAATGGCTGTTACTCGTACCAATGTGGATCAGGCACCACTTTGAAAGTAATCGGAGACTTGAGAATGAGATTTACACCAGAACCCCACTGTTATGCTTGATCACCCGACCATAATCACAACATTTTATAAGTCCTGTTTTTTATTATGCTCATACCTGCATATTTTTATTCTGGTACATTTGCATGAGTCAACTTTGACCTTTCATTGGATCCGCTTTTCTGTTTTAAACGGAATCAATGGAATGGCAAAGTGGAATTTTATACATATATTCGTAAAGAATGATGGCATTTCACTGAAGGATTTGTTACCAGTCTGAAAATAAATAAATGCAGTTATTAGATTAATAACTACATATCTCCTTGGGACTCGATGGCAGGGACCTGTCAGCCGAAGATTATCGTCGACTTTCTCATTTTACAGCAGGTATGCAAAAGCCATCACACTCTACTTGTGTTGGGGATTCGGATACATTACTTCCACTGAATAGAATTCAGTCCAAAATCTCCAGCTCCTCGAAAGAGATGACATCAGAAGAGCTGCAACTTGTGCGTCGGTTTCAAGAGGAAACAGCACGCTGCGGTGGATGGCTCCGAATCTTCCCCTGTGGGGATACCTGGATGCAGTACGCCAGTCTCCTCCACGACAACAGCCAGGGAGAGATAACAGACACTCCCCAGCCCAGATGGCGTTTCTCCATGGCCTCAGCTCCGACACACACTCCCACCGTTGCAACCAGCGGTACAATACAGAGGGGTGGCCGTCGAGTCAATGAGGATTTCCTCACTCATGCTTCCGCTACAATGGCCGTTTTAGCTATGCAGAAGGCCAGTTCGCTTAGGGTTGGGACGATGGCTAGGAACAATGACGGAGAAATCACCTTAATTCATCCTAATCTCGTACCCCCTAAGGTTAACATCGGAATGTTTACAGGTCTATCAAGTCCAGGAGACAATGAACCCTTTGCCTCGGAAGTGGATGAAGACAATGAAGAAAAGCTCATGGTTCACATGCCGCCGCTGCAGGCCGATGATGCAGACTCCGTGCTACCAATTCACAGTCTAACTACAAATGTTCTCTCGGAGTACCTGATGATTGGTCTTGGATTCAACCTTCAAGCTTCAAACGTTAAACGAGAACAGGCGAATCGTGTAGCGACATGTTATTCCCAGACTCTGGGGCGACTTCCATTCTACCACAGGAAGATTGGAGCCTTGCCCGTGTGTATACGAGGCGTTTGTCTGTTAGCTGGATGTGGTCACGAATCAGGAGTACCACGTCTTTGTGGAATGCGCAGAAATGAGGAAAATAATATCTCATATGACCCTCATTATGTCGCCTCAACGATTGAAAACCTTCCTGACACAGAGCACATCAGTAGGCTCTATAGGCGAGAAAAAGGTGGTGTTCAAATCCAATCAATGACTCAATACCAAGCACGAATGACATTTTCCGCCTATCTTTCACGGATACACTCACGGTTCAAAGCACATGTTCTGGCAGATAATAAAAAGCAGGAATGCGTAGCTTCGAAGAAAGCTGATAAGCAAGCGGACCTAATATTGAGATTTTTGCAGAAAGCAGCTCTCAAATTATCTCCACAGGCAGTTAAGTGGTTTTACAGTACAAATGACAGTAATTCTAGCGTTCAAAGAATGTTGAAACATGGAGTTTTTCGGGTCCCAGATTTCCCCACAAATTCAAGGTTAAGAACAAAACAACGAATTTTAGTTTCTTTGCTAGATAAATTTATACAAATATATGATCACGAAACCACCCTAAGCCGTGTTGAAGAAGGATCTGGGGAGGGTGATGGCAGCAGCGACGCAAATTTTAACCAATTCATTGAAAATGCCACTGAAAACGAACTAGAGGTGATCCTAAGTCAGTACACCCGCACATTCCATTCACTAAGTCTTTTCACCCGGCAACCTTCGAAGTATGTGGTCTTACAAATGGAGCAAAGCGAGATTACATCTACTCATTCACGATTCGAAATCCAAGCGAACTCGAATAAATTCCAAGGTCGGGAAACACCAGCACCAATCGAAGGTTTTGATGATACACTGAAAGAGACAAATGAATCAGTTGGATTGGGATCGCATGAAATCCATGACAAATTCATCGGAATCGTGAGTCCAACGTCTCAGTTCAAATCTACCGAGAACCTACACTTTCGAAATGAAATCAAAGCTGAATTCATAACAAAACATTACAAGCCTATAAAACACAGAACTCCAGCGGGAGACATTCAAAATTTAATGTCGAATCCACCCTCTACAGGGGTTACGGTGACGAATATGGAGCATGAAACCATGACCAAGTTCGCACCAAATAAAGCTGTTAATTTTGGCCTGTTGGAAGACGATTTCAAGGGGTCATTTCATGATTCTAAAGGATCCTTTAACTCAAAACAGTCCGAAGGTAAAAATGGAAGCGAATTTTATTATGACGGTTATCGCGACCATGACTATTGCACCGTCGAGCGTTGCAAAATGCAGGAAAAATGTGCCTGTCTATTTGGATTCCTACATTGTAGCGAGGCGGATGTATTTGATATTAGTTTGCTGGATGAAAACTAATTTTTTTATTTTTTTTGTTCTTCGAACTAATTGACTTATGTGTGTTTTGAATTGAAAAGACAGCAAATTATTACGAGAGGGATTGCAGTGGTCAACGACTTCAAAAATTTACTTAATCCTTAGGCACAGGCAAGGAATATGCAATAAGGATAAGTGGATGTCATTGCTGAAATTATTCTGATATTTAAGGACGGGGGAAACGGCATACAGTAGACCCCATTAATTTGGAATATTAGAGTTAGTTTCCAGGCACCCGAGACTTCACTGAAAACGAGAGAGGGCAATCCTGAAGCAGATTATATGTTATTCACATAAAAAGGGCTATGTAATTACTGGCATGGCCTTTGGGTCATGCCGACCGGCGGAGGTGCAATAGCAGAGCCCCTAAGTGACCCTTAACCAAAGGCGAGAGTTTGACATAGTAAGCGTATTACAATAGATTGTCTTACTCTAGCTTCTCTGAAATAAAACAACTTCAAGCTTGAAATAGTAACCATTTGTATGAATTGCGTCGGTTGGTTATTAATTTCTCTGTTTTGGTAGAGGGACTACTTTAAGTTTCAATTAATGTGCATTCGTTCGATGAACTGGCTTTTAGAGCATGCCAGTAGCTCCCACTTATCCCTTCTACATATTGGCAACACATATTCTGACCTGGTATTATGTCTTCACTCGACCTCAGGGAAGAATCAGGATGCCACACTGGTAGCAACGAAAAGCAGGCCCGATTATAAAGGACAACCACCTTGATTTCGTTTACCGAATGCTAGGCCTTAATGCGACGAAAGAAAATTATGTATTCTGGGTAGGAGAATCGGTGACCACTCCTATCAGAAAAGCTGCAAATGACGTCTGCCTTCGGCAGTTAACCAAGTCCCGTGATCTGCAGGAAAGCTATTGACAGCGGAAGCGACACTATGAACCGACTAAATAGTTTTGTTATGGAGATGCTTACCGTATCTATATTAAGATATCGAATGGGTGCAAATGCAGTACCTCTTCTACTTCCCTACTAGCTCGGTAGAACCGACATAGATACGGCTGGACAGCTCCGAAGTGGAAACAGCTTTGCGAGGGGGAATGGAAGCGAAAACACTTCCCCCACAGAATAATCTTCATTCTCATCCTTCATTACACGACTGCTTTTAGGCCAGTGCTCCAACTAGTGGTAATGGACACGAGTGATGACCAGCACATTACCCGTCGAAGAATCTAGTCCCCATGTGGGACGCAACTTTAAATCCAGTAGAATTGCCAAGACGCATCAATGGCGCCGCTCTCAAGCATCTCCTTAGTAGCATAGAAATTTGATGACTGGCATGATTGGCTCGTGAGTGTTTCCATGCAACAACGATTATCTTGTGATGGCTGACGCGGGAGGTTGACCAGGGTGGGCATCGTGGCCGACGCTCAAAAGCGAACAAGGACTACACATGGCCTCAATTGTTTTTTATATCCCGGTTTTGGTAAAAAAACCACTTTGGGTCCCCATCACTGTGTCTTCGTGGGGTAAGCTGGCCTCTAGGTCATGTAAGTAGCCCCAAGCCCTACTGTAGGTCAAATGCATGAGTTCTGACCTAGTATTACACCTTTTTTCGGATTCGCGAAGGTCTCAGAACCTAATGTGTAAGCTAATAAAAAGCATTAAGTTTTTTGATAATTTGGTCTGCTGACTCTTAAGTGCTGGGTGAAAACAGCTTAGACTTCAGCAAGTGCTTTTCATACTCCGAAGGTGAATTTTTTAAACCTCAAAAGGAGCATCTGCTGTCTGGTAGCTAGCTGACATAACCAAAATAAAAAAATATTAAAATGTAAAGAGTTCGAAATAGCTCAAGAGAGGCTGCGTATTTATTCAAAACCAATGCTGGAAATGATTACTATAATAACTGAAAGCCATTGTTGCCATCACCCAGCTTTTTAAGGCGAAAATTAGCCAAATTTGAAATAGTTAGCTCTCACAGCGCTAGAGTACAACTTGTCATTGTATTGACTAACTGCAAAGAGAAATTTATTTACTTAGATTGTTTTAGTTCATCAATGCGCGCTCAACATGCCGGTTCTCATCGCCGCTGAAGATAAATAGAATGGAGGAAGCTGGTGTCTACGCCTCGCAGGGCATTGGGGGTTACGACAGAGCAGAAGTGAATAGCAGTATTGAACAGAAGGACAATCATGCACAGTATACCATACAGAGCGTTCTCCACTTTATTCAGTCAGAATGGACACGTCTGGAATTACAGCGTTCTCAATGGGAAATGGAACGAGCTGAACTACAAGTACACTTTTTCATTTCCGCTATCTCTGGTTTAGGCAAGAATAGCATTCCTACAGGGTGAACGACGCGGCCAGGAAAACATAAAACAAGATTTGGTCCGTCGAATCAAGATGCTGGAACATGCACTCAAACAGGAGCGTGTTCGATACTACCAGTTGAAATCTTCCATTGATAATAACACAGACAAATCAGTAGACGAGGTCTCGAAATCTGGTCCAGATAGTTCGGTTGAGAACGCCAAGGATTACAAGAATATAATGGATCCGGGCAGGCAATTAGCACATTGTACGGAACAGGCCCTTCAAAGCAACGCTAAATGGCGGGAAAGCCGTTTAAAACTGAAGCAGTGAGTTATTGGATATATTAAAGTGTTCCACGACTTATTTAACTCTCTGAAATGCAATCCGGTGTTGTATCTATTCCCGTGTTTATCTGAGCTGTGCTTTTTTATTCGATTAGTTTTCTGCAAGAAGTCGGCTACACAGATTCAGTCTTAGCCATTCGTCAAAGTCGTGTGCGTCAGCTACTTTGTGCAACCAATGGGGATCTAGGAGATCCTGAATCAGTAAATATTTTGAGGAAAAGGTTTGCGTTTCACTAGATTTATATGTTAGCTTCTTTGGATTGGTTATTAATCTACCTAATGCTTGCAGTCCATCGAACCGCAATTCCCTGACATTGCCTGAGAATGAGGAGGCTGTACTTCGTACCTTCGATTTTTTGGAAAATGCGACCAAGTCGGATGAAAAGCCTAATCCTCCTGTTGACGCGGAAGCGCCTTGGAATGACGATAAGCCAGCCCCAGGAGTAAGTCTTCCCTCTTCGATATTATACTAAAGAAGTGCAAAAAATGCAATCTTAATACCAGTTTTCTTGACATTTGGAAACATTTTACAGGGGATATCATCTTTGCTTCCGGGTTTTGATTCCCGAACTGGACAACCCAAGAGATTCGGGCGGAAGACTGGTGTTGACAATAATTTGGTGGTAAGCAGAGCACTATCTCTTCTAGATCAATGCAATGAAGGGTGATCATCTGAGACTTTAAAATTAGGAGTTCCTAAACTCGCTCTCGGATAAGGAGAGTGGGGAAACGGAGGCCCTGTCTAAACTGAGCGAGGCGGTTTGGCCTTTGGGCCCACAGGCGCCAGGCTTAGATGGAGAACCCGATAATGCACCTGGTGCCTCTAACTTGACGCCCTTCAGCTCAACCAATCAGGTTGAAGTGGATGGAGCTTCTGCGGCCGTAGGTTTGGGCGATCTCGCTAGTCTTACTGTTGCGAACGAATCTGAAAACGGAAATGGTGCGTTTCCGGCCTCTGATCCCTATTTTAATTCCACAAAAGTTGGTTCTCAAATCTTGTTGCCCCTCATTATAGATGTAGAACAGTGTGAAACTGGGGGCTTTCTATCGACTGAATCGGGCCTTGGGCAAAAGCAGCCCTCAACATCAGCGATGGCCGGCTCCCGACGCCCTTGGACGAAGAGGTTCGGTTTGAAGGGTCACTTTGACTCGGTTCGCTCCATTGCCTTTCACCCCAGTGAGCCCTATCTTTTCTCCGGTGGTGAAGATGGACTAGTCATGTTGTGGACTTTGCGTCGTCCAGGGTCTCCAAAACCTGTAAGTCTACTTATTCTATCGATTTCTGTTTCGGCTTTTGTAAAAATACCCCATACTATGTGTTTACTTCAGGCCAACCGTCTAGATATTTGATTCTCGAGCTTCTTCTAACAGCATATGGTGATAGCTATCTTTCAGGTAAAGATGAGAAATGTTAGAGTTTTTAGTCGATCATCGTTAATATCCTGTTACTACTTCAGCGTCCGCTTTATTTTTTTGTTCATTCTTGTTAGTACCTCCAAACTCTAGCTAACCTTCATTTGACCGATAAATGCTCGGAAAGTGTGCTTGTATCTGATATCCTGGCACCTCAAATGGTTTTATATACATTACTAAGTTTGCTCTCGCCTTTCTCCGAGTATAGAGCGCAAACAATGCGAAGAACGGCAATCAAATGGCTGCAATGCTTTTAGCCAACGCCCCGCCTGACCTCGATCCGGTCCATATCTATCGAGGCCATATGGGCCCCGTGTTGTCGGTGTCCGTGCCAGCGGTGGGCCAGTGTGCAAGCACCGTTTACTCCTCCAGTCTGGATGGAGTCATCCGTGGCTGGCGCCTCCCTCGTCCCGATACCTTCACTGGACACTTCGATCTCTACTCCCTCTCTCAGAGCATAAATGAGTTCGGTCCTCTGCTCAAACGTAAGCCAGGTTCAGCCGTAGCTTCTCACTGCTAGTTTAGTCCATAAATTTCCAAGTGTGGTTTTGTCGGTATTTTTCTTCACTCATGACTTTATCATTCCATTAGCACTTTCCATTAATGTAGTTCTAAATGATTATCGTGCCTTCCGTCTCGCTTCCAAAATTTAATGACCTAATGAGAGAGTTTACTATGCCGAAATTTGTAAGTAGTGGTAGACTAAAAAGTCAGCCAAATGTAATGCGAATTTGTCACCCTGAGGTGGTGGCGAGGTCATTTGCGTTTTACAGTGGCTGAGTCACATCTCTCTTGTGCATATCAGGTACCTATTACCATGCCTTGGCAACCTGTGCATTAGGATGAAAACTAGCAGATTGTCATCTTTACCTTAAAGTGCATTTAAACGGGCTTCTTGCTCAGGTCCAGATTCCTCGGGATGCGCGGTTTGGTCGATATCTGTACACCCCAGCCTCCCCCTGCTGGCGTCTGTGGATACTGCCACTGCGGTCTCCTTCTGGCCCCTCCAGTCGGATATGTTACCTGGCGATGACGAGGCACCCTTTCCCATTGAGCTCATCATCCCCTCTCGCACCATCCTTCTTAGCGAACTTATCACACCCTCTGGTGAGTTATTATTGCATCCGAGTCACTTAATGCGTTAGAGACCTAGGCATAATAGCCGGCATGTGGACTGTGATGTTATGGGCGAAATGAACGGCTATTATTATGGGTAGCAGCTTTTAACGAGTCAGATTCACTACAAATAACTGACTAATGAGCTGCGATAACTAAAAGATAGTAGTTCACTTAGCTTGACGGGTTGTTCCACCAAAATTTTGCGGCTTTAGGAGGTAAGGGTGTCTGCATAGGTATGTCAACTTTACCTTAATGATTTGAAATGCGCTATGTACTGGAATTGGAATTTGTTTGATCATGCTCTGAATTGCGAATGCCAAATGTCAATGTTGAGTAACTTGGTAATCGTGATGTGATTAACATCCAGTTTGTAAAGCATAAAATTAAGGTTCAGAAGAGACAGTTGAAACGTGAAATCTCACTTGTGCAAAAACGGTTATTTTAGACAACCCGGCGGAAGTGGGTAGACCGACCAGTGTGACGTTCTTCAGCAGTCGCCCGGACCCCTCAAACGCCACCCAGTGCCTAGTTGGCACCAGCACTGGTTGGCTCGCACTTATCGATGTGGAAACAGGCAAGGTTGTCAACAAGGTGGCTCCTCCCACCGAATCGCCTTCCCGTACACCCGCCATCGAATCCAACTTCAACGAGGGCGACCCATTCAACCACCACTCCAACGTTAATCTCAGTACGTGGTCTTGCTGGCTTCACTCAAGCATTGAAATTTGAGTGAATGGACCATCTGAAGTCATGGGATAATTGTGATTAACATTTTGGCGTTTTATTATTTGCAGACTCGGTGACCTATCCTGCTGCTGGTTGGGGTCCTAGAGGAATCCATGCTATCACCATGTATCAGACGTTTTCGCTGGCCATAACGGGCCATGAAGACCGGTGCATTCGCTTCTACGACATCACCAGACAGGGAGGCAGCAATGGTGGTGAATCGGGGAATTTTTGCGTGGGAACCATTGTTACCCACCTCGACGCCGTTACCTGTCTTACAGTTGATCCTCACGACCTCTATGTCCTCACTGGAAGTAAGTTAGTTTTCCCTCCTCTACTGTCCATTCATTTCCTACCCTTTTCTCCTGCGATCGAATTGTGAAAAGGAATTTTTCGTATTCAATTAATTTGGCATAAGTGACGTTGGTTACTTTTAGTGAATCTCTTTTTTTAGCATACTGGTCTAGTCGTGGGGCACGATTACCAGGCATTAGAATAAAAGTCTTATTTAAAAGGCCATTTTAGCCGTTTATCGCGAGGCGGGGTATACGAATGTTCATTGTTTTACATTTTTAAATCTCGTTACGCCGTCAGCAATGGGAAAGTGACTTGATGGGGACCTAGCAAATTTTGCGATTGGCAAGGTAGTAGAGCGAGTTCACTTTATTACGCGCTTGTGTGTGAATGCGGGTACCCCTCAGAACTTGTGCACGCACCCGAGCGTTTGCGTTGGTGCAATCACATTAGTGATTGACACGACTGACTGCTGCCTCTTCTGGCTGGCGGCTAATTTGGCGCAAACATGCGCACTCGCACATGCACCCACACTTCGCTACATAAAAATAGGTCCTCATGCGAAGCCAAAACACCGTGTGTGCGTGTGTGGAATGTAGTGATTCATCCAGGCACACAAAAGCCGGACTGCTCTGACGCTACCACTGACAATAAAATTACTCTGTGCTCTTAACTTTGGCTACGGACACCTACAGTTTTCCACCAGGTGTCTTCGTCGACCTTCTCAGTTGGACTAACCTAGTTTCGTCTCAGCTGTGGTTACATCCTTTTTGTTCCATGATTCTTGGCTGTGTCCCCCATGCGACGTACGAATGTGCTTACGACCCTCATTTACTGTTACTTATTTCACATCGGTCGTATCTTTTCATCCGGGTACGGTGAAATTAAATACTTTGGGGAGTATTAAGTAACTGCCACTTAGACTGAAAAGCGATTATTTAGTTTATGTAAAGTAAGCGACGATTTTGAAGATGTAAAATCTAGCTTTAGCAACTCGCTCTAATCCTACACCACTCTTCTAGGTCACGATTCCTCAATTCGTCTGTGGGATCTGGAGAGCAGGGCGTGCGTTCAAGAGATGACGTGTCATCGTGTGAAGAACAATGAGTCTGTCCATGCTGTAGCCATGCACCCAACTATGCCTCTTGCTGCCAGCGCGGGAGCCGATGCTCTCTGCAAAATTTACACTTCCCTGTGATCCCACCACGTGCACATTCACCCGTCCACACAAGCACCTGTATATGATTCCCTCTTTTTCTCCTAAGTGGCGCATTTGTTTGAATCTTCTCTGCTACTCTACTTTTTCATGGCGTCTACTCCCTTACCCTTCCCCACTTTTGTGTCTGGAGTCCGCGAGCTTAACGCCCGAGCCGGAGTATGGCGCAAATTTGGGCTCCATTTCCCGCTGCTGTCTCCTTCTCGTTTTGCCACCCGTTAGCCCACCCATCCGTCCATCCATCTACCTGCCCGAAGTTAGCATGCAGTTAGCTACTCCGTCGTACTCATTTTACTTTGTCAGGGGTTCCAATAAAGGCGTGACACGGGATCTCTGGTTGTGCACCTCTTTTATTGGTGTTCAGGGATTTGTTTTATGATACAGACAAACCTCCAGAGAAAGCCGCCATGTTTTGCGTTTTTGGAAACTGTATTTGCGCTCGCGGTGTGTTATGTAGGATCGAATCGGTTTTAGGCGCTGTGACACGTGTTTGCATGACTTGCAAAAGCACTTCATTGTTGCAACACAGAAGGTGACGCCGATTCATTTGCGACGAAAAGAACTTCGTGCGATTACCGTTTCAAGCTACCCTATTGGGGCCGCGAATCGGTGTCTCTGTGCCGGAGGGGTGCTTGGATTCCAGTGCCATTTTTGGAGTAGACGAAAATGAAGCTGAAGTTCGGTGTGACCCAACAATGGTGGCGGGTGCGCAAGCGATGTCTTTTTGCATCTGGTGGTTCTCTGATTCGGTTGTGAATGTTTAGAATGCTGGAACATTTCCCGAGCGGCTCCAGATGTGCTTTCAGCTATTTCACAGTCCTTGACTTGTATTATTTCCTGTCGAAGCGTTCGACATCAGATGGGAGGACTAGTTGTTCTATCACAAGAAGTGAAAATAAATATCTATTCTTCTTGGCAGAAAAACAGTACATTGACAGGATCAAAGTGAGTGAGTTGTGATCACGTAGTACAAGGTAGATGGTGCGATGGGAAATTCCTTGAATTGTTTTTTATGTTGAGAGGAGTGAATTATTCGTATTTTACAAACTGCAGTTTGTAATTTTGGGGTAGATGGACACTATTTTGTTTGAAAACCTTAAGTATAGAGGTAAATTACTGGAGGTAAAATATCACAAAGGTGAGATTTTAAAGAAATAGTAATTTGACAATGAGATGTCATCAATGATGGGTCCTGACTCAGACGAGAATCTTAATAGCGAATTTTCGTTCCTCTGGGCGCCCACAGCACTCCAAGTCTTCCCTGAAGTTGAAAGAAGACCTTATACTAGGTTTGTAGGACAGCATTGCCAACGTGCAGAAGGGCCGAAAAGGGGGGTTACTGCCATAGCTTGGAGGTCATGGATCCCAGCAGAAATAAAAGGGGGGAGCCTTAAGTGCCAACGTAACCAAAAAGAGGAGTTAAACGAATAATTGAAGTACTAAATAGCCACCTTCTCCTTCTGAGTACTGTCTCTGGCGCTCCCCTTGGTCACTCTCCTGCATCAGGCATCAGAACATAGTCAATGCTGTCAAAAAACCCCCAAAAACTAATCGCTCCAGTCATCGAATACGCGTGCAATCGAGATATTGGACCGCAGCGCTACTACTTTGTCTCAGCAGTTTTAAAAGGTATGGATTTCCGTCCTGCTTGGGAACTAGATTCTTCGACGGGTAATGTGCTGGTCATCACGCGTGTCCATTACCACTAGTTGGAGCACTGGCCTAAAAGCAGTCGTGTAATGAAGGATGAGAATGAAGATTATTCTGTGGGGGAAGTGTTTTCGCTTCCATTCCCCCTCGCAAAGCTGTTTCCACTTCGGAGCTGCCCAGCCGTATCTATGTCGGTTCTACTGAGCTAGTAGGGAAGTAGAAGAGGTACTGCATTTGCACCCATTCGATATCTTAATATAGATACGGTAAGCATCTCCGTAACAAAACTATTTAGTTGGTTGACGATGACGAAAATCGTGCTAATCAACTGGCTAGCTGGTACTTAGGATGGATAGAAGGATGATGATTTGCTGCTGCTGGAAATCTTAGTGTAATTATTTCTTCGTTTAGGCTTTTTGAGTATGATAGATATCGGCGCAATGGAATGATCATGTCTCACGAGACTGCAATGAACAGTGTTGCCTGAAGATTAAAACAGTGAAGAATTCAACCCTGTGTTTTGGATTGTGCGACAAGATTTTATCCACAATACTCCTCTGTCTTTGAGGTACCCTCGATTATGGAGGGAAGGACAACCCTAATTCACTCCCCACAAAACAATGTAGTAATGTGAAATTTGTTGACCTATCTGTTAGGAGAGCGAAAGCGGTAATGCCATTCTCCTCCAGTACCCAGTCGTTTAAATCGTACAACGAACCTTCACCTTTTCGCATTGTTTTTGTTGATTCAATATTGTTAAAGTAGTACCTTCAAACCTGGCTTAAGATACAATGAGAGTTTCATTTTAGTCGCCAAACTTGATTTTACCCGAACTTGGAGTATTTTGAGTGACAGGGGATGCAAATATTGACCTCGTGATTCACAAAAGTTGTGCTAAAACGGCAATCCAAAGTCAACTTATCTGGCTGAAAACGCATGAAGTTCTGGAGTGGACTGTGGGATGTGCTGGCTATAAAGTATGGGAGGTAAAGGTGCAAATCGTATTTTGTAAATTGGCGAAATACGCATTTACCATTCTCAACTCGTAATGTCTACTCCTAACAGCTTCTTGGATGATTAACCTAGAATTACTTTTTTCCTTTGTACGGCCACTTGGAACGCAAGCATGGTAGTAGCTGACATTAACCAATTTTGAGGTGGAACGTGGCTAACCAACGCTCCCGCAAAACTAAAGACCTGATTTCAGTCATCAACTTGAGTACGCCACTAGCATACACTTCATTCGGTCATGCTTCAGTACTACCGTAATATCACTTCAGACTTTCTATTATGCATCAAATCCATTTTTGTGGCGCAACTTTACCTAGGTTAAATCGACTCAGCGGTGACGATGACGAAATGTCACTGGCTAAAATTGTATAAATACAAAAAGTTATATAAATTAACACTTAGTTTTGATGGAAAAGTTGGTGACATCTTTTCACAAATCATGATTTAGTGCGCGAGTCTCCACGAAACTAGGTGATTGCTCAAACAGCATCACTTGATGATCAATGCGGCAAGTGGAGGGAATTTCATTTGCATGAGCAGTCAGTGCTAAATGAAGAACTGTCAGAGACTTACCTTTGGCATGCCTGTTTGCCCTTTTCTTCTCTCCCATGACTGCTAGTCTTTTGTTATCAGAATCTTGTTTTTTCTTCGCCTTTTAGTATACTTGAGAAAACATCCCCTTGATGCCTTAACAAAGTTTCGTTTGCAAATAAAATCTCGCAAATTGATGAGTTATATACTCACTTAAACTTTTAAATATGCTTAACAAGTTTCAAACGAGAGGTGAGGGCAATTAGTAATTTGTTGATGAAGTGTTTAGCATTGTTGAACAAAAAAGACGAAGGCGAATCTTCGGTCTATTAAATATGTCTCTCACAGCCCGAGAGAAAAATTCCACTAGAAGTTAACCACCTCCGGTATGTCCCGCTTTCCTTAAATGCTTTAAGCCACCAAATTGAACTTTATAGTGAATCATTTACAAAAGGCTTTGATTTTTTTATTTCATCAACTCCATTGCTAAAATTAAATGCTAAAATCTGCGCAGTTACAATGAACATCGTAGACTTTTGCCTGGTTTTAAAGGTAGAGGTGAATGACTGTATGTTAATCGTATTATGGCAGTTCAGAAGAGCTTAGACCCATCTTTTGTGTGTGAAGCCAACATGAATCTAGCCTGATGCCTAGAAGCACAATTGCGCAACTCAGAGTAAATGTAGCAGTAGTGAAGCGCATTCATCTTGATGAGCTTGCATTGTCAGCCAAAACTTAAGTTAAGTTGGGTTCGAGAGGTCTGGCCTTTTTGGAGCAGCAGTCAGATTTCTGTGGAGGGCGTTTTGGGGTGGCGCCTTAACACAACCTGTACGTGGGTAGCTTGGGTATCGTCAACCTGTTTACTATCATTAAACTCACCTGTGTGGAGATACTTACGGTATTAAATCATAATCAAGAGATGATGCTGTCTTGACTGAACGAGGAGAGTTTCGCCATGTAAAGATTAATTAGTCGTGCTTAATAGCACTTGCAAATATAGCACAATATAACTACTCCAGCGTTCTTAATCTTCCCTGGAGCCGTAATATGGCACACCTGCAATACGTCACTCGTTTGTTTAACTCTCGATTTTGGTAATGGGACACTTAGGGGCTTCTCCACTGTATCATCTCCGGGCAGGCTGGCCTGAGGGCCATGTCAATAAACCAAGCCCTTCTGTACGGCGACAGTACATATTCTACCCTAGAATTATATCACTACAAAAGAATAGTTTATTATTGGTGTATGTAGGGGATGGAGAACCGTAGGCAAATCCTCGCGATACAAGATGAAAGACTAGTTGATGAATACGCACATTCGTGAGGCTGATAACTATTGGAGGTAGTACTTAATAGGGACCTGGTTAAAATACCTAAAAAAAAGGAAAATTAATCTAAGGAACTTCGTTGGAAGGCAGGTTGATGAACTTCAATAAACACAGAAGCATTCGCCTAAAACCACTGTTAACTCAGGCGACCATACATGGAGATTTATGCTAGTTTGGGTGGATTTCATAATATTTCCTATTATACACGATCTCTTTGTTTAAAGGATTTAATATTCGTTCGATGGGTGGTAGGAAAAGCATGCTAAAAGGATATTTTGGTATTGTGTGAGCAAGTACTGACAATCTGTGAAAAGGATGGAATAAATAGGTGATGTCATAATACCCCAAAAGAAAACGCGCATGACATGATCGGAGACCTCCAATACACTGCTCCCCTCAAGCGCGCTACTGGCCCATTTACACTTCCACCTTCAAAGTGAGTTGCGTAGATTTAAACATGTGCACCCTATACTATTTAAAATGACTGATACTTCAGTAAAACAACTGTCTTTCTTCATGTTTGGTGTTTTCGATTAAAATAGGTTGCTTAGATTGAAATGGTCGTAGCACGACTTCACTCACATTCCAGAAAGTGCGACGGGGGAAGCATAATTTTAGGTGGGAAATTCAACCAACTTTATTGAGTAGAAGCCACGGTCTCGTAATAAGTGTTAGTTTGATTTACGGAAATAAATTGATGGTAATTGTGCATAAACTGGATCCAAATTTCGATAACCTAACTAGGCAGACCAAATAGGTGAGTTTTGTGGAACCTGTGTCGGTTGAAGCTACCTTCGATCTTCACTGGCGATTCTAAACGAATGTTCAATGTAGGTACTGAAGATGCCTGCAACCCCAAAAAGCGTTCCTTTTTGATTTTCTGGAAGATTCATTTGTAATGGTTAATTTCCTGATGCTTAAGACAGTTTTGCTCACACCCTCTTGATTGACTGACATCAAGCACAGCTGAATTTTAAGTGCACTAACGGTCACCTTGGCAAGTTCACCTTGCCAAGGTGGATCAGTTAGCACAATTACGCGCGAGTGAAACCATCGAGTGCCGTGGGCACTGGTTCTAACCCCCTCTGCTCACCTATACAAGTCCTTAAAAAGTCATCTGTGCCGAAGTCTAGTTTGCTTATTAGCTGGTTAGGAGTTCGAGAGAATTCACCCCTACACGATTGGGCAATCAGCTCACGACAGCAGGAGAAAGGGACGCTCGATTCGAGCAACTAATACAAGCTTTCAAACCGACCGGTGTGGTACTGCACCCCTTTGTTATTTTTTGGGCAGTGGGCGCAAACCGACCGTTTAAAATGGGAGAGTAGGTACAGAATTTGGTGGGCCTATTGTCCCATTCATATCGTAATCTGGATTCAATTGACCGTCCACGGCAAACACGCAGTGTTAAGAAGTGCGATGGAACCTAAAGACGATATATGAAGCAGAAGCCAATGCAATGACACACCCTATTCAAAGGTAATAAGCCGATTTCAAGTGTTATTTAAAATGGCTTCAATTTGTCGCACGATATACTCTGCTTATGCAAATTCTATTAATAATTTCTTTACTCTTGATTTGATGCAGGCAATCCCTTTTAAATTTTTAAGTATCTTTGGTAAATGCAAAAAAAAATAAAAGTAGAAATTATGGACACAAAGTACATTTAATGAAAAAACTTACCATTCTATCCGGTATCGGAAGGGCTGCAACAAAGTATGGCAATCGAGACTAACTCCCAACATTTTGTAGCCAAGAAGGAATTAAATTCGTGGGTGAGTTATTTTAATGAATTTATTACTTAACTAGTGAAATTGAGTAGATTTAGTACCGTGGCTTTCGGTTACCTTCATTCAAATTTAAGGCTCCACGAAATGCAGCATCGAACCCTCACACGCTTACCCAAAGTGGTTGGACTTCAAAATAATCGACAATTCCTATATTTCCACAAACACCAACCCCCTTACTCGGATTTAAATACAAATCGCAATACTTGCTGGCGTAGGCAGTTCCGAAAAAATTGTTAATTATAGCTAGAACCCAAACTTTTTTGGTTGTGTATGCTTCTTATGAAACAAACTGCATTTGACATTTGCAAATGCAAGGAAATGCGAGGAACTGCATTTCTCGAGTTTAGATCTTTGCCCTTTTATGGCGAAATTATGGTATATTAGCAGTTTATTTTGCACTTCCAATAATAATGTCTAGCCACTTTTAATCAACGGATGCACCTAACCCTTGGAACGTAAATGCGCAAAACAGTCATGGTTTGAGAGAATTTTACAAACTGTTAAGATTATAGAGTAGGGACAGGGGCCGGTGCCGCACTGAACCTGGGCAGAGACGACACATCAGTACAGCATGACTCGTGGTAACGGGCCCCTGATTTTTTTTACTGAACACTACCGAGACACTCTAAATTACCACCTAACATCGTTTTCAGTATGTGTGGGACTATTCAAATGGCTTAGGAGTATCTTGGTCACCATTTTCAATAAACACCTCGTATTCTCCTAGTCGATTGCCAAACACCTCACCTTTTGGGGAACAATTCCACACTCGAATTATCATCAGCCGATCTCAAAGTTGCGCTAGTAATCAAAGACCAGTAGACATTCATTTATGGATAGAAATATTGGCCTCCACAGTTAAATGGCAATCAAAAGTGCACATATCAATTACCAGATAAGTAAGGTACGTATACAAGTTCTTATTTCCATGACTATTTTCATACTTAGGCACTGCCTCAAAATTTCTCTCAAAAGAAAACAATTAAAGAGAAGGTAAATTGGCAAAATCCTGAATCCTTTGTCAAAATGCAGGCTTTTGGGAGTATTACCAATACCTTGGGATGAAAGACACAACAGGCGATGGGAAAGAGCACTGATCAATTGGTAGCAATCCACCTTCTCCACGCTGGACCTGTCTTCTGACAATGCT